TGCTTGCCTCAGTCTGGCCGTCGAGGAGGCCCAGGTGTGAACCACCTGCATCCAGTGCGCACAGAATGCACATGCCCACAGAATGCACTTGCCCTCAGATGAGTGATGATGAGTGTGTGCCTGCCCTGGCTTGAACAGCCAAAACGCTGACAGTCGCGAGATCAACGGGGCTCGTTTCTCTAGCCACATGTCATGTCACTAACGGTACTCATGACAGCGTCCTGTGACCAGTGGAGCAATTGTCTGTGCTGAGATCAGCGCAAGACAGTGAAAGCAACACAACACCCAAAATCCGAACGGCGCTGGCAGAAGATGATCGAAGCCCCATAGAACACACACACACACTCACCTGGACTCAGCCACAAAGTATCCAGTTCCATCCTACCATCAAAGTTGCCTTCGGTGTAGGGCCGGAGAACTTTTGCCAACAAAGATGTTCTCATGTGGGAAGATGCTGGCCTGATCAAACATGGACAAAATCAACGTCTGCACCCATGAAGGAAAGCACATTGACACACAGCCTGGCATCTGTTTCCCCTGCAGAACCAGCCACACCTGGCTTACCAAGTCAATAGGTTCTGGGTTGGATTCTTAAGATGCAAACTTTCCTAACACCTCTGACCAACATGCTCGGCAAGCAGCCCCCAATCTTTCCCCATCCCGGCGACATTTGCACTTTCCGAAAAGTGGCGACTGCAGAATCTAGAAGATTCTTTGACAAAAATGTGTAAGACTGCATTTGACATGTGCGTCGAACAAGCTGCAAGAACAAGAAAGTAGAACCTGTGCTTGCATTTTCCCCTAGCTACATTGCAACGCAACAAGTGGGCGAGGCCACAAATATTTGCCAAGTCGTGACATGTTAAGAATTCAGCAAACCATTTCGAGGGAAATACCAAAAGCTGTCAGTCAGGTCGCCCCTTTTGATGTGGCTTGATATCCAGATGGATACCAGCTGCAAGGACAGACAAATTTCCTGCTCCCTGCCAAGACATGTGTACCTGAACTGAGGAAAACCGAAAGGCATGAATTCGAAGTTGTATATGCTTGCCGTTGCGCGGTACCTCGCACCGCTCAACATCCTCAAGTGCCAGCATTCCACAAAAAGTACGAAACCACAGCTTGCCGGCTAAGCTGCTAAACATGCTCAGGCTTGTCCTCGAAGCCTAAAATTGTGTGGTGCGCTCCTCTCAGTGTTGGCCGTGAGTTCCCTTGCCTCTGCCTAGACAGCGCAGGGTGTGAGTGGAGAATGTCTGACTCACTACTGCGTTTCGGCGGCTGTGCCGGCACTGGGGATTTCAGGGCTGGAGGGCTGCCGAAGGCGCTTCGGAGGTTCCTTGAGATGGCGAAGGGGAAGGTTCCATCCCACAACCTACTTTGCAGACCGCACTGTGAATTGTCGGGCAGAACTCGCAACCTCTTGCCCGAAGCTCGTCAATTTGTCCGGTCCCGACACCGAGAAACACACTTTGCCAAAGCAGCTTCCAAAATCCCAAGCCAACTCGTTCGCTTTCACGCACACTGGCGCAAACTCGGGTTGACTCCTCACAGCTTCATGAGCTCGAGGCGGACACGCGGAGCGTTGACAACTATTCTGCAGAGCTGCGCGTGCATTACAGCGTATGCCACTTCGGTTGAGGCAGCTGCATGATCGACGACGAAACAACCCAGCAACCCAGTGTATTCAAAAGGGGCGAGCAAACATGCAAAGCGACTCGAAGGAGGCTGACAGGCACATGGCACACAGGAAGTTCGGGACATGTCCTATCGCCGCCTCCTTCACCTTTCATGCCTCGAGGAGATGTCGGGGCAAGCTCAAAGAGATTGCCTTGATTCGCTCATCATCCTAGAGCGGTACTCTCTGTGATGAGCCAGTTTTCTGACAGCGAACCAGCGAACAAATGCATCTCGGCTGCTTTCTTCCTCTATCCCACCTTGGCAGGTGTGATCGATGGTGTGATTATGTGTCTTTGTAGCTTGTGCCAGGTGTGCCATGGACATCTCGTGAAGTGCAACCGAGCGCAACCGAGCGCAACCGAGCGACCGGTTGATCGGAGGCTGTGAGAGCTTTTCGGCGCATCATCAGGAAACTGCAGCGCTTGGGTCAACTCATCGCTCATGTCGAACGCACCTCGGCTTGGACAGAGGTTGCAGCTCATGTCGGAATGTGGGAACATCTGAGCACTGCACTGGCAGCACCCGTCTTCCTGAAAAGGAGGGCGTTGACTGACATTGGGCATCTCTTTAGAGAGATTCACTTTTGATTGGATGCGAGATTTCACGACTTGATTCCTGCTGCATTTGCCCTGCAGAGCCTGGGCATGTCAGGACTTCTAAGGTCTCCCCGGTCTCCCCCAAAGGTAAAAGAGCAGGATATAGCAGGATGCAACAACAAAGCAGCAGAGAGCCCGGCCTTCCTCGAAGACCCAAGCCAGGAGCGCCTTGAAGTGATTGGACGCGGCGTTTGCCTGAGCCACGCAGCTACATCTCATGAAAAATCACAAAGCCGTCTGAAAGCATCTGCAGTCTAAGCTCCGAGCCGGTTTTCTCAGCCATTTTGTTGGAGACGCCCGAGAATGTGCTTCCACTTCCACCTCCAGCAGGAGTCTGTCCAAACCAAACGTCAAGGACAGTGGCGCTACCAGCTTTCTGCCACGTTGGACTCATGTGGATTCACTTTGCAACAGTGGGAAAAGCACATTGAACCACCCAAAGGCTGGCATAGCTGAAGCAAAGCGCTTCTCGGTGCTTTGCGCATGTCCGCCATTGGTCTGTCAGGGTCTTATGGAGTCACGCCTGAAGTGTCTTCTTTTTGACGAGAGCCTGCCAGGAACAGCTGAAAAGCTGGAAGATCTGGAAGCAAGAAGGTAGGCTGTTTTGGTACGCCGTCGCCTCGAGAGAGGTACGAATCTCCTGCAGAGTCCATCCAAGCGGGAATTGCCGCAGCAGCAACGGACTCCCTCTTTGGGGGAGCTGCAACGGCAAGCTCAGATAGCCTGGTAGAGCTTATTTACGCTGCAGAAATTCGGTTGCAGCATCTTGACCCAAGCTGCAAGCCCTAGGTGCGTTCAAGGTCGGGCCCCGCACCCCCTCCCCAACCAAATCGAGAATACCGTGCAGGCCTCTGAGGATACTGTGCACTGCCTCTTTTCAAGAGGGAGGGGGGGGGGGTGCCCCAAGTGACCAAAAAAACCCCGAGTCAAATCAACAAGGTTGTAAACTAAAACCCCCACAAACTCCAACGAACTAGCTTTCGCGACTCCCAAGCTGCAAAGCTTACGGGCATGGTTATCTGCTGGCAGACACGTGTTCAACATGGACGCACATCAGCTCCTGTTGCCAATGCACTGGTCTCACTTCGGCTTACAGCAGCACTGTGCGTACCTGCAAGAAGCAGCATATGTGTGGTTGTCAGCTGCCGAAACCACTGCAACACAGCACAACTCCCTTAATTCACAGCCAAAGGCAAACCGTCCTGCACGGGACCGTACTGCGTCGCCCGCAGTCACCAAAGAATGCCTTCCTGACAAATGACACATTGGCTGCGGCCGATTGGGTCTTGATCAAGAGATCGGTAATGATAACGTGCTGCTTGAAACAGGATGAAGCTCTGCAATGTGGTGAGCAGAAAACAGTCATGGCAAGGTGCCGCTGTCTTTGGGTCTCGGCTTGGTCGGAGGCGTCGGAACTAAGGCAGGCGCCCCTGCGAGCGACGCCGAGCGTGTGTGACGATACAAGGAAATGCTGCAACCCCGCAGTACCAGTGCCTGCTGTCGATAGATCTGCAGATCCAAGAGACACCTCATAAACTTGCCGGAAGATGTTCTACTTCGAGTCAATGCTAGAGCCACGTCTTCCGCATTCAAAGGCATCCCCGTCAAGACACGGTTGGCTGTTGAGTGAGATTTCTAGCAACAGGCTTTCACGAAGAGCCTTTGCCGCCCGCACAAAGTCCACACCCAAAGGCTCGAGCCCTTGATCCTAAACCTGAAAAGCCGTATAACCTCCATTCATACTGGTGAACCCTGTTCGTCCGATCAGCCCTGTGAGCCTCAAACGCTACGAGTCCCTACAAATCTCTACCATGCGATGTAATCACCTGGTGAAAGTAAGCTGAGCTCTCAGCTGCCTGCTTCTTCCGCGAAAAGAGCCATGACATGACAACACCGTTGAAAAGAGGTTCTCACACTTCGAGATCTTCGGCTGCGGGACGGACAAAACCAGATGGGTGCCAAGCACGCTGACCCGACTGCCCTGTGGCCCTGTGATGTCATGGCAAGGTGGTCTTGTCAATCCTGTGTTTTAGCTGAAGGCAGAGCCAGGCTGAACCGTTGTTCGCAACGCTAGCAGCGGACGCGCAACCCTTGCCTGCATCAAGGTCTCGATGGATACCAGAGGCCCCGAGGCCAGTGGGTGATCCACCGAGAACTGAATAAGACAAAACATATGAGGGAGTTCCCAACTAGGAAAATAAATGAAAGCTGCTGGACCCTCTTTGGAGCCCTCCCTGAGCTCCTCTGCCAGACTGCCAGCTCACACTCATGGCCCAGGGTTTCAGGGACTTCACCGGACCTCTGGCCCGAGGATGAAGCCCTAGACACCAGATGCTCGCAGACATTTTACACCGGAGGTCACCTACACAGCAATTGCAAACATGTCTGCAAGTATCTATGAGTGGAGACGGCTTTTGTCTGCGGAACTCAGGGAGTGTGCCCAAGACAATATGCACTGCCACTGCACAGCTTCGTTTTGGAAGTGGCAGTACAAATAGCCTTGGCCAACGATGCCAGGCCTTGCCGGCACTGGGTAAGCCGAGTAGAGTCAGGCCAGTGTCTGGCCATTGTCGCTGAAGAACGCCGACGTGATTTCTCCGTACACCCTCTGTTGTCGTCTGCTGAGTGTTGAGCTTTCCTCTCTATTCTACATGCTTCACGCTTCTAACCATCCTATGCTCAAGTGCACCATGACAGTCGCCTTGCTTGCCCAGTCAGTATTCCTCGCTAAGCATCCGAGTCGCGCAGTGAGCACTCCTGCGCAGAAAGCCAATGCGAGATCCTCCGGCTCGGCCCTTTTTGATCAGCAACCTGCCTCTTCCGCAATACCAAACCGAATAACTGGATCGCCGTGGCGCCTCTAAAGGACATGGAGACAACCACACCACTTGCACAAAAAGCCGCCGAAGTCTCTGGAACGCCCTTAAGCTCCTGACCCGTAGCGAGCGCTCGCTCTTGGGATCGGCATGTCCATCAGGACAGGCTGACAGCAAGCCAGATAAGTTGGTGGCGCTGTAGAACATGCCCAGACGGAGAACAGCTTGTACATTGCCGAGGGCAAGCTGCCTCATCCAGTCCGACGCCCCTGCCACTGGCATGAGAAGGATGGTTGAAGCATCTGAATTGAGTTGAATTGAGTAACTGAGTAGCCGAGAAGGGAAAACCCCCATGGCCCAGCCTTGAGTCCACCGCAGTGCAGACTGGACGCCAGGGCGGAAATTCACAAACGACTTCACGACCTCGATCGCCGCCATGCAGTAAGATGCACCAGCTACAAGCCTCAAAGCACAAAAGCACCCAGACCTTCCATTGACAAGCTCCTCAAACGTTCTCTAGCAAGCCATGCCTCCTGAAGAAAAGCGAAGTTCGTTGTTCCACAGTTGGCTCATGTTGCTGCAATCAACTCGTTGACAGCTTCAAGGCCGGCCTCGAAGCATGGAAAACGCAAGACCTTGGCGAGGCCGGTGATTTGTAGTGATTGCTTTGAATCGTCATCAACCTAAGAGCCAAGCCAGAGCACTGCCATGTCTCGCCCATGTAGCATCAGACGTAGACATCTCAGGGCAGATCATTCCAGAATCTAAGCATGCAAGTTTTACGAGAGCAGCTCTTAACAAAACACGATGCATGAATATTCAAACAGAAATCTTGGGAGCGTCTTAGCCCCGGGGTTGCCAGTTGCCTCGTGCTCAGGAATCGGACCGGCTGGCGTTTCACCTCGGGCAGATGGAATTGTATCCTCTCGCGTCTCAGAGACTCACAGATGCAAGTACTTCAGCAGTGCGTGCCCGTGCTTTTTACGTGACGTAGTATCTCGGCCCTTGACAGCTAAGGTCCCTTTAGCTTTAGATGAGTCTCAGCATAGCATCGCTATCTGCATCGTGAAATGAAGCACTTCATGGTGTTTTGCTCACATCGAGCCGAGGATGGCACCATCGTCAACAATCTCGCCCTTAGTTCGCAAAATGTCTGGGAGGGCTTCGTGGGTTGCAGCATCGGGCTCTTGCCTCGGCGGCCTCCACCGCAAACTGCTGCAGCTTGCGGGCTCCCTGCACCTAACGACTGTTTGACAAAGGCTTCACGCCAAGATACCTGACCATGAGTGGCATCAGATCGATTATAAGCTCGCCACGAAAGCTGGACAGTTGAGCAGCTCAAGTCGGCATTTCTCACTCCCGTCTGAAGACAATGTGACTGCGACGCGTCGAAGGACCTGCACTGGCACGTTTAGCTATGTGCAGCCGCAACTTGATGACCACTTGTTGCAACCAGTCGCTGCTAAGGAAGTTACACATCTCAAGTTAATCTGACATCTGCAGGGTTCGTCTGCTGACGTTTATTTGTTCTGTTCCTTGCGAGAACTATTCGGTGCATCATCCTAGCTTGTGTGGCCGGATACCAACTGCAACTGCTTTGCGATTCGCTGCCTCGCCGGGCTGCAACGACCAAGGAAGATTGCGCACGATGAGCGCCCGCTTCAAGCCTGCAGGCTGTGGCTCCAGGTTACAATGCAAGTGCTGCAGTCGCCAGCACTTGCACGGACCTGAGTCTCCTGAGTTTCCTGCGAGCATCCTGAGGAAAAGCTGGACGAGCCACAACACTTTCCTTCCACGCTGTCCTGAAAAGCATTGGGGGTGTCGACCACGAGCCATCCATGCTTCCAATCTATCCACACAGGTTTCTGAAGGTGACACCATCTTGCCAGCATGAACCTCCTGATGCATGTAGTGGTATGCTATCGAAGCTGCGTCCTTTTCTTGAGTCGCCAGACCTGTGCCAAGGAGATGCCGCTCGCCAAAGTCAATGAGCTTTTAACAAGAAGCAAAGCGACCTGTTTGTTAAGCTTGTCCACCAGGCAAGATGCATCCATGGTTTGAACGTTTCGCAGGTTGCTCGCTTTTTTGTGAAGTGGGGGTGTCCGCAGTGCCGTGACTTATCAGACACCGCCTGCCTGGTGGGCAGCTCTGTCAGAGCTTCAATAACTCTCCAAGTGCTTCACCCTGGCACGATTTCGCGACGGCCTCGTTTTTGCATTCCCTCCCGACCACTTTCCGGTGGCGTTGCCCGCAAACCTGTTGCATTCCTTACGTGTAGGCTCCCGATACCTTAAAGGACTTCCATCAAGGCTTGATACGACAAAAACGCAAAGAGAAGTTGCAAGTCAAGATTTGAGGCAACTAGCACGAGAGAAGATTTGAGAAAGCAAGACGAGGGCAGAGAGAATCACTTATCACGGCTCATTCGAGTTCCCCTTTGTTGCCGGCAGTCTGGAGCAAGCTGGTGGACATGCCAATGTTGTCAAAGCTTCTGTGGATTCTCGTACCCTTTCCCGTGCATTAAAGGCATGGAAATCTCAACTGTCATTGCCTCTTCGGATGCCTCGAAAACCCTTTTGTGCTCTGTGTGCAAATCCCCCTTCGGCCTCTTCCCCCGTTGAATTGTGGTATCGCTTAAGACGCCCTGCCCTGCGCGCAATGCCATCTTGAAGATGCCCTCTGTGCAGTCAGGATATCGCCTTTGCCGCCTGTGCTACTTTCTGCACTGCAACCTCCACAAAATCTGTGGTCGGGAACGGGCCGGAGGCCTGCGATGCAACAACCAGCTGCTGTTTGAAGACGTGCCCAACGCTTGCCGCACTTCTAAATTGTTTTTTTTGCGTGATTCGTTCTGTTTCAAAGCTTGTTCACACCTTCCCTGTCAAGCGCATCATCGGTCAGAAAGATCACAGAACTGCGCTCGAAAGGATTCAGACGAAGACATCTATCAAACAACGTTTGGTCCGCACCGGCAAAGGCTCTTGATTGATCTCATCGACGTCGAATCTTAGACCAGATCGCCCATGCAGGCAAGTTCCGGATGCTATCCCGCGTCCGAAGCTCCGGCGCCATGATCTTGGGGAACGCACTTGGGGTGGACGGACAGCTTGTGCTTCCCCCATTGCAGTTCAGCTTCGTAGAGGTTTGGGTCAGCGTAGACTTTCAATGGGCGAAGTTGTAGGTTGGCAGGTCGCAAAAAGCGATGCTTACGGCCCTTTGCGCGCATCCCTCGAGGTGCTGCTGCAGCATGGGGGAATGTTTGGGGAGGTGCACTATGTCATCAAAAGTCTCTAGAAACATACACAGATATCATGTACGTATTCGCTTGTTTGATCCGCCTCCTTGAACAAGATCCCGTTCAATCTTGGCCTGGAATCCGGAACTTCAGTGCAGCTACTTCTCCGCCAACCCAAAGCTGACTCATGTGTGCGTTTCGCATATTGGGCTCCAGGCAGCAGCCGTGTGGCCCTCTTCTTTGCATTCACGGTCTGAAACTGCACCAGGGCGTAGCGCCTCGAGGGCCCGGAGCGCTTTGGCCGCTTCAGCTCACTGGCGACAGACTATGCGGGGAGCGACTCTCCGGCCCGGGGCATGTGCAGAGTGTAAGCCGGCGCTTTGCGCAGCGGGCCCTCGCCGAGCGACCACAAGCTTGTTCTTCAGAGCAAGCCCAAGTTTGGCAGCAAGACGCAAGGAATCGCAAGCCTCACGCTCCTCCAACGGTGCTGTCCCACATGCTTCGGCGTTGGAACTGGGCATGAACCCCCGGAGCAGGTTCAAACGGTAGCTACAACAATCGCAGGGTTTGGAAGATACGACATGCCTGCGAAGTGATTCAATCCAGCGTTCCAGTTCCTCGCCTGTGCAGGACTTTAAACAGTCCGGCAAGGGTAGATCAGACGCAGGCGAAGACAGAAGGCAATGGAAACAAGAGCTTAAAAACACAAATCGGGAGATAATCGCCCGTCAGGGTCCGAGCAAAGAATCAAATCCAGAAATCATTCTTAAAGATATACGCCAGAGATGCTTGGTTTCCCTTCGAACAAAACCAAACCATCGGACCATGGGCACGTCGTTTCAGTTCGAAAATCTCGGGTCTTCACAAACAACTAACTCCAGGTTCAGTTGTTTGGGTCCTGGGTCTGGGTAAGCCGTCCCTGTGTTGATTTTTGGGTCATCAAAACAATTAGTTGACTTTAGATCTACTAGATGTTCGGTGTTTCAGAAGATCACAAGCCATCGGTACGTCGCTTCGATCCGAAGCCACGGTACGCCTCCGGCCACAGCTGTTACCAGAAATAGCTGTTGTCATTGTCCCGACTATCTGCATCCAGAGATAAGCATTGCTTTTGGTATGGGTTTTGGAAAACCGCCCCTAGCAATGAACTCCAGACTTAAATTGCTTAAAACAACTAACTCCAGAGATAATCGGTTTGCAGCGTTCCCGTTCCCGGGAAAGAGCAGGTCGTGGTCTGGGTAAGCTGTCTCTACATCACAAAAAGGTAAATCACAGGGTCCTCCTGAGGCCTCGAGAAAACAACTTAAACAAAGGGTTAATTCCCTGGAGGACGCCAAGCAATCGATTAAATCTGGAGTGAATTCCGCTGGGGGAACCCAAGCAAATAAATACATCCAGAGTAAAACTAAATCCACAGCTACTTGCACTCAGGGAACCCCAAGCAACGCCAAGAAAACAAGTACGTCCAGAGTTCATTGTCTGCACAGGGTTTGAACAACCTACCTAAAACCAACTATAGAGCAAAGTGTTTTTTAAACTCTTGTTTCCATTGCTTTTCATGCACGCTCGTAAGCTTCAATCCTGAGAGGGCGGCAGACTTCCACATGCTCAACTTCCCCGCAGCATTTCGACAGGGTTGCACGAACATCAGACTCCTTCAAACACAGAAGTGCAACTTATGCGGCAGGCAATCCGACGTTCCTGAGCTGCGCACAGTGGCAGTGAGAGGCAGGTTGCTGAGAAGAATGCTCTTCGACTCTTCGGGCATATGAGCTGACCTCGCGTGGCCGCACTAGATCGTGAATTTGTCATTTCTTCTGCCACATCTCGTATCTTCTAAATTTGGACCCCCAGTCGCATCTATCGACGCAACTTTGCGGCTACAAAACCCAAAATCTCTGCTGTTTGCAGGGTTCTTCTTCAACGTCTCACGCCATTTTGCAGATACCGTACACTCAATATGTGGCTTGGCTTGAAGGCTTTCTTGGACACACACGTGTCGCCAGGGCGTGTCCAGGTAACCCCATTGACGCGGCGTGTCAAGGTAACCTCCACAGCAAGTTGGAAAGCTGCAGCGACTCAGGACAGGAACGGGGTAGTCCCCGTAATCAGCCAGAGCAGAAAAGCCCAGCTACGAAGATTTCAAAACGAAGCCATGGAACTTGCAAAGTCGGAGTGAAACGGTGAGACTGCGTGTTGGATATGCTGTGTCTCCTGCACACTTCACAGACAAGCACACAACGGGAAAAACACCTCCAATTTTGGAGGGTGCGATTGTGGAGTACTTACTTCAACAAGGCCTTGTAAACATTTTGCAGAGCGACATCCTTGTCGAGCTGTTCGCGATACTTGTGTATGAAGGAGGCAATGCTGTCAACAATCGCATGTTGTGTTTCAACCCGGCTCTTCGCTTGCGCCTGGTGCTCAGTGCGAATGTCTTTGGTGACATCACGCACTTGTTTCTCCAGCTGATACTGGCTCTTCGCGATCTGTTGCTGCATTGCATCTGCCCACCGCTCGTAGGTCATCAGCTGCTGCTCCCGGTCAAACTTCTCTTCGTCAATAAGTTTATTGATCTCCAAAACCTCATCCTCCAGAATCTTCTCCTGAAGCACAAAAAGCCAACTGCCCTGGATAAAAGGTTGGGCTGGACAATGGCTAGTGCAAGGTTATGACGATTCAACTGAGGGCGGTTCTCGTCTCTGATCCTGCAGCTGCCTTTCTCTGGTCTCCGCTGCCAGGGCATCAAACAGCCGCTGTGACTCGTCGCGGATGGGGCCAAGGGTAGACTCGATGTGTCGCTTGCGGTCCTCTCGCTGCTGCACAAGAGCCGCCTGAAACAAGCATGCTAGAAGCAGGAAGACTGGGTACTTGCGAACACATGCAAATCAGAGGCAACTCGGCGAGCCGAGTGTTTCATCCGCCTCTGCATCAGTCATTCGTACCCCGAGCTCATCCACCACTGCATTCATCTTGGCAAATGCCTGAGCATGATAGCTTGGCACTCCGTTGAATACAAGTTCGCATTGGGCAACAACAAGCCAGCATCAGCCTCGGTCAAGTCTCGCCGCAGTCCGCGCCGAGCGCCCGCAAGTTCGTGGTCAAACTTTGCCTGAATCTCAGAGTCGCTACATGTAATTGGTATTATTTAAACACCCCGATGGTTCCCACCCCGATGGTTCCCAGACTCGACTGGAAGGCTGTCCAAAGCAGCCGAGGTACGGTGTAGGATTTCGTTGTGTCCATGACATGCTTTTTCTTCTGCTGCATGTGAGCCCTGCACTTCTTGATTTGCCGCAGCGTCTCTTCCAGCATCTCATTGAGCCGCTTTTGATGAGCATCTCGGTTCTTCTGCGCCTTCAGACTTTTATGTTTCATTCTGATGTGCGCACGAACCATACAGCACTCCCGACCTGTTCGAAGACGGCCGGTGTTCGGGTTACCTCCTCTGAGAGGAAAAAGAGCAGCTTCTCCTTCAGAGCTCATGTAGTGCTTAACACTGCGTCCGAATTCTGAGTTTTGAAACGCACTCCTGGTTGTTGTTGAACACTCTGGTTCGCCTTCGAAGGTCACCAGAGATCCATGAGGCATCCTCGTCCATGGCAACTTCAAGGGCAACGGGCCAAGATAACTAACCACATCTCTTGAAATAGATCGGCTGCGAGCACGAAAACTTCAGGCAAGCCCGTGGCTTTGAGACTGTGTTCCTCGAATCGAATGTTGGGGGAAAATGTCCCCAGCAGCAAAGTCCATTGCCCAGAGATCGGCATGCCTCCACGTCCATGACCCGGCGCTCATGCAAAGGTCGCGCCTGCACCAGCTCCACTAGAACAGAGAACATTGCTGCAGTTTGCTCAGAAACGCTTGACGCGACCTCACTTCCCTGCAGTGGCAGCAACTGCTGTTCGCTCATCATTCGTCGCCTGACATGTGCTAGACAGGTTACTTGGCGACCGGAATAAGGCGCGTTCTAATCCTTACTGCGCAGATGAGGGAGTCCCTCTTGGTGGCACTAGGCCAAAGAATTGCCACGAATAGTGTGGAATAGATACACACACCTCGATAGCTACGACTTCTCCACGCCGACGCCCACATGTGAGAAGAGGATAGCGGAGGCGAGCGAGAACAGAACAAGCACTTGAGGTTTGCAACAAAAAGAATCTAGTCGGAAACGCCAGCATGGAAATGGCTGAATGCAGAACAACAGAAACATTCACATAGTTGTCCTGCTGATGTTGGTCCAAGGGCCCATGTATAAAGAGCTGCAGGTCCGAACAACACTTGCCACAGCGGCACGTCCGAATAGCCTGCTGCTCCTGCCCGCAAACATTCCGAAAACTTGTGAGAAGGAAAGGATGAGTGCAAGAGTCAACACTTGTTGCGAAATGTGCCTCCATCTTCACTCACCTCCATGTCAATGTCAACATCCTGAACATCTGAGCAGGAACAAAAGATCGACTTTCTTGGAAAGACCGACGGGTCTGATGCTATGGCCGCAAGACCGTGAACTCGGACTGCACCCTGATACACTACATGAACGACATATCCGACTACAAGCAAACCTAAGTTCGGCAAGTTAAGTGCTGTACGCAGGTTAATGCCCCTTCCGGGCAGCCATCACTAGTCTAGCGGGCTAAGCACTGCCTGAAGCAGCGCATCATCCAGCCGCGCCTGCAAGCATGCAGAGGCTGACTACCCTGCATGCACAAAAGCTCAGCAACTCTTTGATGCAATGTCCTGTGAAGCTCCAGACCTGCATTTCCTCTATGTCCAGCTCGCCATCTACGTCTTTCAAGACAAAATCCTTGCCATGTGAGGTGAATGGTCAGGCTACGTTTCCCCTGGCAATGAGGTGAATAAAGAATGCAGTTTCAAATGGCTCCGCGTCCAGCAGCTCTCCAGCGCTGACTCGCTCCAGTATCTTCCCTCAGCGCAGAAAGTGTCAGTACACGACCCGCGCCGTTGCTAAAGCCCACCGCTATTATCAAGCAAGCCATCAGGCAATCGAACTGCTCGTGCTTTCAGAGCAATAAGCAAGAAGTCGACTTTACGTTGATGCTCATGCCGCTTTCGTGCTGACAGAGAGAAGCTAAAACTCACGATTGCAACCTCAGCCGAAGACCAGCATAAGCTTTGATCGAGCCAGGGCAGTGCTGGTTCTCGACAGGCAAGCATCAACAACAACAAAAACTGAGTCAAACAAGTGAGCCCAGCCATCACCAGAAATGCCAGAATCAACCAAGAAAGAAGCAAAATTATTGTTTCCGCAGGCCAGGAGGGGAGCGAAATCGGAGAAATTGCAGCCTGAAAGCGGGTCTATCAGATCAGTCAGTTTGACAGGTTCCTCATGAGCCAGAGCTTTCAACGGACTCCGCAACAAACTCCACATCCTAGTGACAAGGTCAAGAGGATTCACAGGTGTGAAAAAAGCAATGCTAAGGGTGAGGAACATTAAGGAGCACGATCACGCTCTGAGTTGGCCGACAGTTCTTTCAGTGCAACCAGGCGGCGAAGCTTCCTTTTGAAGTCCTGCTCCGCCTCTTCCGCAGGCGGCTTCCTTAACACTTTCTCAATCCGAGGCGCTCGCAGTCCGCACTGCTCATAACGTGCCAGGCTCACCGAGAAGTGGAGCCTGAAAGGGGCTGCCGGCCCGAACGGTCGAAGTGGCTGCACACGAGCTGGTAGAGCTCCTCCAGGACGTAGGGCGGATCTTCGACAAGTCGACAGAAGCAAACCTGCCATCGTGCCTGAATCACATCCGCTCGACCGCTCTGCTGAAGATGTCCAATAAGGTCCTCTGCTTCATTCTGCGACAATGAGGTGGCACTTGAAGGCAGATCCAGTTGTTATGGCTTCGACACTTCGAGGGGCCAAAACCTAAACAACATTGACAAGGGGCTGAGAAACTGTGCTGAGCGATGCCACATGGAGTACAGCAAGAAGCAACAGAAACATGACGTTTTTTTGAGATGCTCCTGCAGGGCGTTGAGCCGCCTCTTTCCTTGAAGCTCCTCTGGTCGTCGTGGTGGCCCTGAAGCCGCGTTGCCTCCACCCCAAATCTGAGCTCTGAGCATGCCATGTGCACACAAAGTACAAGCGCACAAACCCTCAATGCACGGTCAATGCCCGGCGTCGGGAGCAGCTAGAAGGGCAGGTATAAGCACAAAGCCTCACTGCGCAAAGCTACACGGTGCAAGTAGCGAGTGGTGTGTAGGGTACAGGTTGTAGACGCATCCCTGCAGCCCCGAAACATCTCCCATCTTGGGCGCAGTGTGCTCCGAAAATGTTCAGGCGGCCAGCGCCTCCCATCTGCTCAGCGGTGAGAAGACAGCTGAAATGGACAGACAGTAATTTGACATCAATGCCAAAAGTTCCTGCCATGGATCGCACAACTTGACTCCTGCCTCTGCAGCGGTCTGCAAGCCATGGTTTTACCCGCATTTCGAGCTGCAATCATGCGCTTGAGGCCTTGTGATGCGGCTGGCTGCCTTCGTTCATCTGCTGTGAAGACACTGGGCGGTCTAGACAGGCCGGATCCATTTTGCATGTCACCACAGCCATAGCAGATGCTTCCACTTACGTGCTATGGAGAAAAATCTTCATTAACTGCTCAGCATGTTGCCAACCTGCCTTGAGAGAGAAGCAAAGAAGGCTGAAGCCAGCATTCTCTACTTTGACGCGACCACATTCATGAACTGAAGTGCTCTCGATGTTCTCTGATTTTCTTGCAAAGCAAGCCCGCAAGCTGGCCGTCGGTGCTCCTCAGGAGTCCAAACTAATTCATTGTGGGCAGCTCCCCTGCGCAGGCACTGCACAACCGGCCTTTAGCGAACAACTCTCTTCCCCAGCTTGCACAGCTCTACCTCTGCCCATGCTTTCACATTCTTGGATTTGGAGCGCTGGCGACGAGCACTGATACAAAATCAACAAGCGTTACCAAACTGCCTATTTCCTTGACACTTGGATTTCCAAGCTGCACGCTTTCGAGTGAAACGTGTGGTGTGAGGTGTGTGGAGAAAAGGCTCGAGGCAAAGCCCTTCTTCCAGAAAGGATGCCAGCGGCTAGCCAGCCTCGCCGGCCCGCTCTGGGCCAGCCGGATGCTCCGTCTGAGCAGGTCAAGATCAGCCGCACAGAAATCTCACAGTTAGAGTGTTGAACTTTGAACAGAGGTCATACACGACCCAACTTGGAGCAACACAGGAAAACACACACAACACGGCACCCCGAGGCTCTACACAAAATCCCCGTGAATTCCCATCTGAAAACATTGCCCTGCCGATGCCAACGTCGGACTTCAGAACTGCAACGAAATCAATTCGGCTTTCTCGGTTTCCAGCTTGGCGGGCTCAATCTTTGCTTGCCATGCTCCTGCCGGGTTCCTCGGCTCTTTGCCCCTGCACTCCTTTTCAGAAGTTTGCTTCATCTTTGGGCTCTGTCGGGTGCTCCTTCCCAAAATGTTCATGATGTGTGCAGAAAAAGATGTTGCCGACATCCTCAACTGATTCTCCGGTTGTTGAAAGCTTGTTGACTGTTCCATCTGTCACTGATTCGTTCGAGATGCTATCTTCACACCGACCATCTCCAGACGAAGCACGAACAGTCGCTACGTCGAAGCGGCGCCTCTTCCACCTCCTGCTCGATGGGCACTGAGCAAGCACACACCGAGTTGCTGCAGACTTCTACAGACTTCCAAAGGGTAACAGATCCGGCATGATCAGCCACGCTTACTTCACCGCTTGTAAGGGGAAAACCTTCCACCGTGAAACATCTGAAGCGCAGCTATTCACAACAGATCAAACTCTGGAGTCTGAGTGACCGGCATGGCACTAACCCTCGCCGTCCAGATGGAATGATGTCTGGCCAGCTGGGGTCATGTAAGTCCCAGCCACCTGCAAGGAGGCATCTGAGCCAACAAAACCAATGAAAGCAGAATCTAAAAAGCAACAAAATTTCAGAAGCCTCGAGGCACAGGAAGGAAGCTCTTGGGATCAAAGACGAACCTGCAAGCAAACAGACAGAAGCTATTAGCCGAGGCCCTTCCATTGGGAACACGAGGATAATCAAAATGGAACCAACTTGTCAACACGTCTTACTGCTTCGCCTTCGCTCTGGGAGAGTCTTCCAGCCCATCTCATACCTCGACTGAAGGCACATTGGCGGTTGGAGACATGTCGTGACATACCTGTTCTCTGACCTAAGCGGCTAGCTGGCGTGGTTTCTTCCTCAAAGCAGGCATCGGAGGTGCTTTCATGACCTCGGGAGCACTACGTGGTTGCAGACAGTCCACCACTCACTTCTTTCATCTCCATCCACCAGGCTACGGCTTTGCATTTGCATTCTGAAAGACTGCCTCGCCAGCAAAGAGTATGCTCTGCAGCGACAGAGATTTGGACCGCATTGGGGCCTGGCATCTAAACCCAGGACATGCAACGCAAACTGCGCACCGAGCTGGTCCCACGACATTACATGACATGAGCTGAACTTCAACTTCCTCCCTGGCAAGACTGCCTGTGTGCGGCCCACGAGAAAGCCGTTCCTGCGGGGGCCCGTCTTGCGGACAAATGATGAAGCCACATGCAAGAAGGCTTGAAAGCCAAAGAATCTAGTTCGCGTCCTCCGGTACACTTCCCGACTGACCTGCCAACAAGAGAAAGATAGAAAAAGCATACTCGGAGGCGAGTCTTCACGTCACTTCTAATCCGAGCTTGTTACTCTCCGGATTGAAAATCGGAAAACCGTGTTCCAAGCCAGTGGCCCTAGAACCAACGTAGAATCGCATTGCTGCAGCGGAGCTACTCCGAACTGCAACCTGGCTCACACATGCAAGGCCCCGCACCTGCGAGCAGCTGGCGGCACTGAGCGATGATTCAGACCACTCTCGGCGCGTGTCCTTAGACTTTGTTCATGCCAATTCGGACGCGACATGAGGCTGAAACACAAAACCATCACAAAGCATGGCCGGAGCTCACTCCGCGCAACCACTTGTTTGAACCAAAGCGCACCCTTTTCTGGCTCACAGCTGCACTGCCACGAAGCGACCACGGGTGAACAAGGTGCCATTGCATGACGTCGCTACATTCTGCGCCAAGTCAGTCAGGTTGTACAGCATCTGAAAGAGATCCATTCCATATGAAGGCAAACGCCACGAGACAATGGTTGTCTGGTTGCACGGAATGGCTGCTCCGGCGAATGCTTCTAGGGCTGTCCTGCAGACATTGTCCCCTGATAAAGAGGCATAAGTGAGAGGGCGTGAACGATGAAAGGAGTATGAACAGTTGCATTCCTCTGCAAGATCAATCGCAGTAGCACTGAAGCCTCGCAGATGCAAAAAGAGCCGCCAATTTACGGGAAAAGGCAGTTGTTTCTGATCCAGGAGCGTTCTGACTAAGCTTTCGGGCGTCACGATTTTTGCACCCACAACCTGCTGCAAGTAGCGAGCATTGCCAGCCTCCCAAGGCACCATACCAACCAGTGCCGCATTGTCTGCGGCTTGCTCTGCAGCCTGGTCTTCACTCATGTCAGGCATGTCAGGCAGAGCTGCAAGAGCGCGAGTTTTGGCGTCATCGTCCACAGCTTCGACATGGAGAAGGATGTGCTTCTTGCGCTTGTCCCCACGATGCAGTGCCAGCAGTTCCCCGGCGGTGAGACCACCACTGCGGGTGATGGTGATGTCCGCTCTGCCAAGAATCTCTGCAGCCCGCTGGCCTGTGAAAGGCACGAGGATGGTTCGGGAGCTAATGGAACTCAGGCTCCTGCTCAAGCTCACTATGTCTTCATAAAGCCGCTTGTAGGCTGGAGACCGCGGTCGCCCACAGGCAAGGAAGACATACCGTTTTCCTGTGGAGAGGTCTGGTAGCTTCAGACTCTCTTTGGCATAGTTCAACACAGCCTCTACTGTTGGTTGCGAGCCCAACATCACCATAAGCAGCTCATCATCTTCTTCCAGTAGGATGGGGTTCGTGACTGGACCGGATGTGGATGATGCTGCAAGGAAATCTTCCTCGAGAGGTATCTGCGCCTTGAGTCGAATTGCAACAGCTTGCCCTGGTGAGGGCAGACTGCCAGAAGTGAAGCTGGGGTCAATTGGCATGAACTTATCAATTATGATCTGCCGCCGTGGTATCCCTGACAATCTTTCCAGCTCTGCTTCTCCACCCTGCATTGGGGAGACTCCATGCAAGAAGAGGCGCTTCTCAATTGTGCTGCTCGTCCCACTCAAAGCAACCAGGGGACCGAAGAAGTGGACAGCCTGACAGGAAAGAAGACATACGTTGACGTTCATCCTCCCAACTTCTCGACTGAGCTAGCGTTAAAATCCCCCGGGCAGAGCAAGGCATAGCATAGGACTTGTGTTGAACATGTGCAACGGCATCAATGCTTGGGTAGGCTGGAATGGCACTGACGAAACTGTTCTTCCAAGAATCCCCTGCCCTCGGAGCCCCACAGAGCGGTTTGCATGAAAGCCAACGTGCAGCCAGACGGATTGCAACTACTGTCAATCGTAGGTTCAGCTTGGTAGGCCAGGCCTGTGAACACAAGACAAATGGTAAAACTGTCACTAGCGTGCGAGGGCAAAATGCGCCGCATGACTGAACACCGTAGTTTGTGCTAGAAAGATGGCCCGGGCGCTGCAAAGGAGGGGCATGTAAGGTGCCATATTCCTCCATAAAGGCTTCGAAAGGCTCCCTTCCTTACACCCCACCCCCGTGTTTCTTATGAGACTTATCCCTAACATGGTGCCTCCTCAGTGGGCAGATCCGTCATGTACAGATCCAATCCTCCGGCGTCCGATGCATCCAGCAAAGACTGGATGAGCAGCGGCTGCGTAGAGACCACTCGTTTCGCAGGGCGTTGGTACCCCAGCTGTTTATGGCGAATCACAGACTTCATGAAATCCCGACACTGGCGGCCAAAAACCCATTGCGTCAAGGGCTGCGCTGCTACTAAGCGCTTCAAGCCTTCGATGTCACCTGAAGCTTGCAGCGTGTTCCACTGGTCCGTCATGAAGCCACCCAAGGGGATGTATCCCATGCCATCCAAGCTAGTGCAAGGGATTTTCATCATGTCAAGCATTGCCACGGCAGGTGGACCATTCTGAACTGCAGACAGCGCTTCTTTGGCAAGATTGTATGCTTCAGGTGTAAACAACGCCTTGTTTTGCTGCAAGGCTTGCGCTGCCAATATGTAGCCACCTTCGGCCTGTTCCAGCAACTTCCTCTGCAGGTTCTGCGCGGCCACCAGATGACCCCCACCACCACTGCTCGTCACGACAAGGAACCAGGCCTGCAGCGCATCGTTGAGGAGATCCACGGCGAAGGAGCACATTTCCAACCTTTCCCCGTTTGCCTCTGCTTTTGCTGCTTTGTCGCATGCATCCGAAGCTTGGAAAACTCTGGGTTGGCACACTCCTGAGCAAACAAGGCCAACCGCACAGAACTCGGAGCTTACGCATCTTTCGCCGCGCGGGAGATTGGCGTTCGTACCGCCAAACTCTTTAGTCAAGTGCCGAAGCAACTCCGACTTCTCTAACACACCCATATCTTTAAATGAATGCTTGTCGGGTCTGAAAAGTTCCCAACGTGCGCTGACTCGCACGAACGGGACATGCTGTAGCTCTCTCATCACTTCACATCGAACACTGTGGGCGTGGCAAGCACCAGAATCGCTGCTGAAGTTCCAGCTGTGCAAACCTAGTGATGGGTACTCCTGGTCTGCGTACTCCTGGTCTGCAGGCACAGCTTCATCAGCTTCCAGACCATCCTCTGGCGGGGTGGCCGTTGTTATTGCTCCACTTCCAAAATCTACAAGCCAGTCTGAGTCTGAACTGTAGAGCACTCTTTTCTGGAACTTCTCCAGCACCTGGCGATAATGGCCACGAGAGATATTGACCAAAATGCTTTTCGCAGGATCCTGCTCACACAACTCGTCCATAACTCCGCGGTCAGTCTGCGAGATGCGGATCAGGCTAGGAAGCAACTTCGAGTTCAAAAAGCTCTCCATTCCCGCGTGTGGTGAAAAAAGTGAAACGAACAGACGGGGGCGCAAGCGATCACCGCCAAGGCTGTCAAGACGAGAGGCAGCAACCCTTGCAACGATGCCGCCCAGCGAGTGTCCAATGATGGAATATGAAGAGATACGTCTCTCAGGTCTCTCAGCCTCAACGACCTTCATCACTTGATCCGCCACACGCTCTCCCTGAACGAGAACGGGCTGTACAGACTGAGCACCGGCCACTGCATCCAGAACAACGATCAAAGTGGGCTCCTTTTTTGCAAAGCTTGCCGAGCAAAGACCTTCAGCAAGTCCTTTCAGCGATGCCACAGAACCTCGGTAACCTGATACCAATGCAACTAAATGCCTTTCGCTCGTCTCAGATATGGATGAGTCAAAGTGCGACGAGCACTCAAAACGAGCAGCCAATGCCTCTTGATGCGACGCTTTCTCACGCGCTGTGTAGGCGTCGGAGCGCAAGCCGGACACACACAGTATTGCGGTTAGCAAAAACCATGGTAAACGGCGCGCCATGTTATGTACTAGTTCTTGCAGACCACTACGAATTGCAACTTGTGCCTGCACGCAGCGGCACTAGACGTGCTTGAAGCATATGTCGATGAACATGTCACCTACGAAGCCCAACATTCCACGTCGAAGCATGTCTGAGGGTCTTGGCAGGAGCCAGTCGGATGGGTGCGTCTCCGGCCCAGGAATCGATGCGCCGTTGTCGTTTCTGGCACGTGCTCAAGGTATTCTTGGCCACTTCTCTTCCACTCGCAGTTAGGCAAAGGCCAAACTATCCTATGCAGATCCTCAACACACCCCAGCTACGGTCCTCCCAGCCCTCCCAGTTCCGTCGGACTGTTGGCATGAGGATGTATCTCGTTTTTTTACACCAAAGATTCTGCATTCGAGCTCTTAGTAGCACCTCGGCCATGCGAAGCGCCGACTGCCTGGCAGTCACTTCATGAGCCCAGAACCTCAGTTGCAATGCCAAAGATTGAAAAACTGCCCTCCAACCTCTTGCCCCTTATGCTATGCAATATGGACAATCTGAGCGCCGTGCTTTCTCTCTAAATCCGGGCAGGCCTCCAACAGTCAGGATACAGCCGGAACCCTGAATCATTGCAACTTACATTAGGAACTGCTGCAGCACAAGGCCTTTGAAGGTGCAAGGGCCTCCTTGGAAGGAGCCGGATGCCTGACAAAATGCCCAATCGTACAGACAATTGGACAAGAGCCTTACAGTCCTTCAGCAACAATGTGCCACAGAGCGTGCCCACCAAACGACTCGCAGTTCTTTGCACAGTTGATGCACCATCATCGCAATAGATGAGCATCATGAGTCATGATGTTGCTGAGGCAAAGAGGATGCATCCTTTGTGCGCGATAAATAAACTATTAGGATTTGCAATTGCAAGGCAAGCCACTAACATGTTGGCTTTGCGGGAAGCCTCACACGCAAGCCAGCAATCAAGCGGTGTCCCAACCCTGTGACAAAGAGCAAAGGGAGCCCCCAGGAAGCCCAAGAACCATCAAATAACTGGCATGAAGGATGAAGAATCGAAACCCCTTCTGGCGACAAAAGTTCCTCCAAGGCATCTACAACTTACATGAACCGAGCTTGGAGCAGCTCTTGACTAGTACATCGCTAGTACCCTTCACCACCGGCCTAATCTGGGATGCCCGGAGCTCCGAAGAAACTGCCGGTGCCGGGCGACTGGCAAAATAGGGCGCTTCGTCAGCTTGTCACATGCCAGGCTCCTACAATCTCTCTACACTTGCCTTTAAGTACCTCTTTTTGTGCCTCTTTGGTGCCTCTTGCCTCTTTCACTCTTCGCTCACTTTTTGCGCTTTTGTTCACTGTTGTAATTTTTTCATTTTTCTCCTTTGCTCACAACTCCGAATCGTGCGCCTCATCGCCTCTGCATCCCACCTCTTGTGGGCCACGACGTTCTGCGAAGCGAATTGGTGCAAGGCGTCAAGAAGGTGGCTTCTCATGTTTTCTGTGCATGTTCTCGCAAAGCACGCATCACTCCAGAGTCGTCCTTGAAGATGGTGTCCGATGGATGCATTCTCTCCTGCCGCAAGTGTCTACCGTGTTCCTCTGTGCGTTGCTGTTGTTACATTTTGTTGCTGTCCGAGACGGTGCTTTGCTCACTACTCCCAGCTACCTGGTGGCTGAAGTCCATAGACGCCACCCTGCGTTGCTCAGCAGCACATGAACGATTGCAGGACACTTGACGACAGCACAGGTGCACCCAAATTTGGTCCACCAGACACCATCCATTCCTGCACCGCAGCTCAAAAGCGTGTGCACTAGGCAACACCACAACAAGCTGTCTGCCCACTCTCATCTAAGCTGCCATCGATGCCTGTGGTTCCCCGCACGCGGCGCATTGCCTCCAAAAGGAGCAAAATACTGGCTCAAAGAGCACGGTTACAAACACTCTGTCGAAAGGCTGCTGGAGAGTAGCAACGATTGGCATGGAGCCTCCTTCGTCATGTAGACGATTGGTGTCTGAAGTCGCGCAAAACTGCACTAACACAGCCAGATATTGCTTGTGGACAGATAGAAGAGTCTGGATTCCGTGCTCACAACGAACCCTCCTGCTGTACTTGGCTTATGTGTCTTCCTGCATAGGTCTACCTTGTACGAACCACAACAACTGCAGGATCCAGAAAGTGCATATCTCAGTGCAAAAGCACAAAATTCACATGTTCTCTCTTGCAACATCAAATGTGGCAAAGCAGATTGACTGGCAGCTGCCTATACACCAAGCCCCGTTGCGGAGCTCCATCCGTTCAAATCTCCCAAGAATGACCAGATCAGAGCAGCGTGCATTTTTGCCTTTCAGTGCAGCTTATGTGTAACAAGCAGCAGAGTCTTGCCAGGAAAGTCACACAGGCATCTGACGCACCCCAACTTCTCCATCAGCGGATGGAGTGTTCAGCACTGAGACGAACAAACAGACTATAGGAACACATATAGGAATAAAACACGTTGTGCACATAATGTGCACATAATGTGCACATAATGTGCACACACTTTTCGCACCCCAGATTTCATGAGATTTCTAGATGGCTTAGATGGTTTAGATGGCTTGCAAAGCTCCTCGTGCTGGTGCGACAGTAGAGTCTTTGAAAGAATCCCAATTGCAACTGCGACGGAATGCAGTCTTCCCTTCCCATGGCGTTGTTCACAAAGCGATGGCCTCTGATGAGGCGCCTGCCCAAAGGTGGGCGGTCACGGCTTTTTGCATGTGGCAAGCAAACTGTTGGGTAAGAAGCCTCGCGCACGGTAGAATAGCTACATGGAGACCACATCTTCAACGTGATGAAACTGAACACAGGCGTTCCTAAATGGTGTTGCAACGCTTGCACCTGGCAAAATTGTCCAGGGATCGAAAAAATGGCGGTCTGAATAATTGGCACAGGGCACTTTGTCATCCCGATTCTGCCAGAAATTGCATATACTGTGAACACATCGGCTGTCCACTGCGCGCTTGACACATCTTGACATACCGTGCACACTGAGTTTGTAGCACAGTCGTAGCAGGGATCGTAGCAAATTGTGGTCATCAATGGGTGTGTGTTCTCATCAAGACCGTTTTGTGGTAGCAAGAGATTACGCCAATGTGACAGAGCGATGACAGAATCGAGTCATCGCCCTGAAGTCTCACAGCATACGCAGCAGAGAGCACTCTCACACCACGGAATCACTCACCTCTATCACTGGAAGAGCGCCGGTCCTCAGAGCATCACTGGAATGAATGAGATGTAATGTGATGTAATTATGCATATGGGCACTTGAGAGGATCGGACACAAAAGACATGTTGCTACAGTTCGGCCCCGTACTTAGCAACTTCGGAACTTCTCGGAACATTTCGGAACTTTCCGAAACTTCGGTCTGATTGTATTGCTCCATCAGCACCTTGCAGCTTGCTTTCGCCCTCACATGCAACGAGCTCTCGCGCAGCTGGTCGGAACGGCTCTCATGGGACGCTTCTATCGTTCCGAAGAGCGCTGTCAGAGTCAGTCTCTCCTGCCTGGTCATGTTGGTCGGTTCGCAGGCTCCGTTTCCCTCCAACCACCCACCTTAAGCCTCACGGCCTTGCCTCCTCCCATGGTTTAAAACGCTTAAAGGTTGAGGCCTCGCAACGCAAATGTTAATTTTCTGGTGGTTTGGGGGTGCAAGATGTGGGTAAAGGCTTCGATTCAACGACTCAAACTGTACTTGGCACAGCAACCGAAGCCGAAATGCAAAGCAGCAACAACAACTAGACACTGTGCGTTGCTTGCTTAGCTCAAGGTTTCTAGTCCTGCCAAAGCCACCCAACGCCCAGCCTCCACGGCCACCCACCCAGCCCCGCCACCCACCATCCGCTCCCCACAGCCCACAGCTAAAGCCCACTCTGGAGTGTAAGAAGCTCTGATTGTTTTCAAGATGGCACCTTGCATTGCCCATACAGCTCAGGCCAGAACTTCCAGCCTGGGTGTGCTCTCCCAGCTTCTGGGTCAGCAGCTCAGGTGTCCATGCCTTCAAAAGGAGGCTTCAGGCTTGTTTCGGAAGCTTCCAATCACAACGACGTGCATGTGTGATCGTGGTAGAGATCCCCGAAACACCAGGAGAGACATCTCTCAAGTTCTCTCAACTTCTCACATTCTCAGAAGGATTGACAATTGGGTCATTCTTGCTACTTTCGCCTGCACTGCAGTAGCAGCTGGACTTTCGCCAGTGCCAAGACAGCTTGTCCAGCCGTAGAAAGGGCTTCACCATCGCGCCTGAGATCCCTCCTTGCGACGAAGTCGGAGATGCGCAAGGCCTGCCGAAACCAGCGGAGACATCCTGGTTGAACATCGAAATTGATGGTTTTTTCGCGAAGATGCTTTTACATTAGATGTGCTTCCTTTTCCACTGGAGCCGCAGCAGACCGCAAAGTGCAAGCTGACAGGCATAGCTGGCATAACGTTTCAAGATAGATGCCGGCTCTAGCATGGTGACAAAATAAATGCAACAACTGCCAAATTGAAGGGCGAGTACTCAGGTTGCTGGCGCCCAAAACATCCCAAGAAGATCACTGCCAAGCAGATCCTAATCGTGCCTTCTCCAAACGGACAGGCATCCTGCATCATCATGCGTTATGGCATCGCTCTTGGACTAGCGCATGAACGCAATCGCCTGCCACTGCGCCACAGTGGAGGCGCCGCCCCATCGGTGCGAAGATTCCACAAGCGCACCATCCTGAAAAGCACCCAAGCACCCAGAACGACTGGAAGTGAACCAAGCGCGCCTAGAAAATCAACAACGTCCGAGGGCTGGTGCCCATTGCAGCAATGCTTGGCCCATCATGGTCAAGGTCTCGTTTTCGCTCACGTATGGGCAAAAGTATCTTGAACTCGGATGGCGGCGGTGGTACTGGTAGTTGCGGTAGCAGTGGTAGTAGGAGTAGTAGTGGTAGTCGTGGTAGTACTGGTAGTAGTGGTAGCGGTGGTAGCGGTGGTAGTACTGGTAGTAGTGGTAGCGGTGGTAGTGGTGGTGGTGGCAGCGGCGGGGGCGGTGGCGGTGGCGGCGGCTGCGGTGGCGGTGGCGGTGGCGGTGACGGTAGTAGCAGGAGTAATAGCATAAGGGGCAGACGTCCGGTGGCCACGATGCACAAAACAGTTGTATTTACTGCAGCATTGCTTCTTGCACAACATACTGCGGAATAACCTAAAGTGTACTCCCATCCACTCTCAAACCTGCTACATCTTCCCAGTTCAAGCAGCCAATGCTGCCAATTGAACACACAGGGCCCTCTCCAACCCTTCGTAGCCTTCCTCTGTTCCATGACCCCTTTCATACCCTAGCGGGGTAAGCAGAGCAGGCAGGGAGGGGAAAAGAACTCACGTGGCCCCAGATGCATTTCCTGGGCCTAAACATTCAACGGGGTGGAGAATGCATACCCAGTAGGGTTCCTGTGCACCCTAAGCCTGCCATACCCGACACAGCGCAAGGATGTTTTGTTAGAGGAGGGTTGCCGAAAACTAAACTGGACGTGGTATCAGAGGACCCTGAAGGATGTTCGAGGATCCTGCAACAAGACATGCTGCCGCTGCCTTTTGCAAACATGCCCAAACACAAGGTGCTCACAGCCCCCCTACTACCCCCTGCTACCCCCGACTACCCCCTACTACTCCCGACTACCCCTTTTGAACAGACACTAGACCGAAGAACCCCTAAGCCCTACGAGATCCTGCAGGCGACGACGATGGACAGCTCCAGCAGCCGTGGTGAGCACAATTTCGCCAGGAGCAAAGGCCAAAGAGACCTCTTTGCATCCACGGCTCTCTACAACAGACGATGATACGAATATTTCTTGACCATGCGTCTTGTTGTTACGACAGAATGGGTCTTTCACATCGTGTCCTAGGCGCGCCTTGGCAGACAGAGGCTCCTTCACTTCGTCGGAGAAAGGCGTCGGAAACTCCCCAAGCGGGTGCCAAGTTGCAGCCTTGAACACTGGTCGGGACATACATCTACGCACGTTCCCGATTAGAAAGCATGAATCCGGAAGACCGGCTGACATAAGCTCTACAGGAACAGGCACATGCCTGGCCGTGCCGCACCAGCTTGAACACGGCCACCAGGTCAGGCAAAGCCTGTACAGATGGTGAACCACCAAGAGATTCGGCCCTTGTCAAATTCAAACGGATTTCCTTCCATACTCCCCTGTCCACCCTTACAGCCCTCGACCTCGTCAATGAAGGCAGCATGGAAGTGGTGCTCGTTGGAGGCCTCATCACCTTTGTCGACACGCGCGTCCTTCACACACTCCCTGCGCACATCCGACGCGTTCTACCCTAAACCCTAAACCCTAAACCCCGGACCAGTTTTAGGATTGCAGGGTTCAGAAGGGCTCCGAGCTCAGGGTTCCCAACGAACCTGAAACCCAAAAACAACCCAACAAAAACCCAGAAAAACCCTTAACCCTAAGCTAAACCCCCAAAAATCCTAAAACCTCAAAAGGCCTTAAAAACCCCAAAAATCCTAAAACCCTGAAAATCCTAATCCCTCCACCCGCAACGTTTGGCAAGCAGGCCTCCTTTCGGAGCTCCGTTTCTGAAATCGAGGTCCCGGCGAAGCCAGGCAACAGCAGCAGCACGAAGAGCCGAGACGGGAAGGCGATCAAAGGATGTCGTACACGGTGAAGCCTAGAAGGATTGAAAGAAGCTTGCACGTCGAGAAGAAGGCTCCTTGATGGACTCTTTTTGGGCTCGCACGGAAAGAAGGCCCTGAGCCGAGACAAGGACAGGCAGGCTTCAGCCTTCTCTCAAGTGCTGTTATTGGTGAGCGCGGACATCTGAGTCTCTGGATCTGTAGAGTCCAGAGCCCAAAGAGTCCGACTTTCCTCAGCTTCTCATAGATCTGGACCCTGTCACGAGCTGCATGTGCACGAAGCCCTGCAACAGCTCGATGATCTCTCAAGTCCACATCACCACCACGAAAGGGAGGTGCGTGATCTTGACCTTCTCCTCCCTGTTTGAAGCTTTGGCTTGAAATCTTCGCTGGCTTGGCCCAACTTTGGTGAACCCGGACGTGAAAATGACATGCACCAAGCCCACCGTTCTGGCTCCGCCCGAGGTGTTCGCCTGGGACTGCTTCATGTTGGAGCTTTGCAAACACTAAGGCCGCCAGCTTGTCATTCCAGGCGGGCCGCGTGAGAGCCAGGAGTTCAAGCGCTGCCTCACGGTCGTGTCGACTTGGTCAGACCGGCTGCGGCCATCGATGTGGCTCTGAATGGCATTGGCCCAGGGTTCGGTCTGAGGCACAGTAGGGACGCCTGCGATCCTTGCTGCTTACAGTGTCGAGACGTACTACATCTCGACACGGTGGGCAGCAACATCCGGTCATACTCCACAGGGACCACGGCATGCGCAGACGCTGCCGGCCTTCTCTGCTTTCAGGGTACTGCTTTTCAGGTACTTCCTTCAGAGTGTTGCTTTCCAGGGAGCTGCTTTCGGTGAGCTGCTTTCAGGATGTGTTCCGGACAAGACCTGCCTCTTCACGCCTCTTCATGCTGGGCTTCGTCTGAAGGGCTTCTGAGAAAGATGCTCGTGGTTTCCCAGCCACCAAGCCGCCTGGCTCCAGTGGGATCACTGCCCTCCGTGTGGCCCATGGTCCTCTGCGCCCGGGAAGTGGCCAAGTCTGTCGACGCGGAACTTTTGACATCTGCTCATCTAGGGCTCTTGTTGCCGAAAGCTTCGTCCAGACGCTCCGGGAGCGATGGCTGTCCTGCTGGTGTGGCCTCCACAGTGCCTTCTTCGGAGGCGCCGTCCGGGCATGGATCCATCTCCGAATGCCAGATGCCGGAGACGAGGCCTGTGCAGTGGAGCCAGGGCTGATGGCAATGCCTTCTTCGGAGAAGGCGTCCAAGGAGAGGTCATGTATGGATCTGTCTCCATGTTCCGTGGCAGTGAGGCCTCTGCGGCGGGGCTAGGTCTCGTGCTTGGCCGTGCCTTCTTGACAGGAGGCGACTGAGTTGCAGCAGGATCCAAGGCCGGAACCAAAACTCTTGCGTGGAGTTATGCTCAGCTACTAGACAAGCGAAGACTCTGCAGAGCCCTCTCAGAAGAATTCTGGAAGCAGAACAGACACCGCAGTCCTCTCACGAGTCTCGCTTCGCTTCCAAGGCCGGTGCTCCAGCGTCAGGACACGAAGCAACATGCCCACCGCGAGTCACAACCAGCAGCTCCTGTCAAGCATCGAGCGGCCAAACGTGTTGTTCATTGCCAAACCTTATTCTGATCTTCGTAGCCTGCGATTCTGGATGGAAAGCCGCAGAGTGCAGGGGAGGCAAGTGAGTAAGCCTTGGAAGCGGCAGGGCCCAAAAGGCAGTGCCGAAATGGCAGTAGATACCAGACTTTCCACATGGCTTGGATGGCTTGGATACTGGAAGCCCGATCAACCTCGATTACGCTGATGCCCTTAGGAGGATGACATGATTTTTGTGCGCATAAATATCAGACATGATTTTTATGCGCACAACAATCATGTCTGTCAAACCAGGTCAACCTCTGTTCCGCTGATGCCCTCAGGAGGATGGAGATAATAAGGGTCCGGCCCTGCAAGGCGGAAGCGACGGGCAGCTTCGAACCCATGGTGGCGAGCCACAGCCGCCGGAACGAAGGCACCCACACCACGAGGTGACAAAGCAGCCTCGCACGCACCCATAATCACCGAGAGTCACTTAGCTGAAGAAAGGCCGCCCATGGCTCTCCATCTGACAACTCGCTCTGGTTCTGGGCCCCCCACAATGCCATGTGCTCCGCATGCTAACATGCGCGGCTCAAAGAACCCAGGCCACGCTGTGTGCACCGGCATCTCGCGAGCCGGCTCCGAACCTGCAGGGGTTCACATCAAGCAAAAGTAAAATGTTCAGGTCAACCTGGTGAAGGTCGGAATCTCTGTACTCTCCCGATTGCACCTGGCAACAGTTCCAAGATGTCGCGCAAAGCGTTCCGAGCCGGAGATGCACGAAAATGCTCGCCTTGTGTGTCTACACTGGCATTGCGAAGAAGCACTCCGCATCACTCCGCACAAATGCTGCACCTTTCGACGCATATTACTGGGATCTCTCACTGAGCTTCTTGCCCAAGCGACGTGCCTCACCCTTGTGGATGTTGGAGTGGCCGCCGCCGCCCTCCTCCTGGCCTGTCGACAGTCAGCGCACTGGTTGCACAAACGGTCGTGGCTTGGTTGGCAACTCTTCTGCCTGAATGCGGGGCACTGATGAAGCCACTCATGGCGGCACGCTTCTCCTGCAAGCCCACATTAACTGGCATAGCTTCGCATGTCCTCCGCATTCCCCTGATTCAGATAGTAAAGCTATCTTCGCCAGACATGCCCGGAGTCCTCATGCCAGGCCATCTGCTCCGGAATCCATGGCTTGGCACCTGGTCGCACTCGGTGTAACATGGTGTAACACTTCTGCAATACAGGCGCCTACAAGTTCCAGAGCCCCCAGCTGCCCCTAGAAACATCCCGCGCCTGCATACCAAGGAAAGCCCAAAGGTGTTCCCAGCTCGTGGGGCTCCAAAGACAGCCGTGACATGGGAGGTCGCGACCAGTGGGGCGCTGTGACAAGCCCCTGATCTCCAATGAAGATGTCCACCTGCAAAGAACTGGCGCAACAAAATGGCAGCAGCAGCAACCCTGAGCAACCGCAGAGGAAACTTGCAGGTCTTGACCATGGGATTTGAACCTTTAGACAAAAGCCATAGCCCCAGACATGAGCCAAACACCTACACGTGCGCTCGCCCATGTCACGCGCGCTCGCCCATGTCAATGCAAGCAAGCCACAACCATGCAGAGGATCAGGAAGGCCCACGCGCCGCAGATGGCTAGCTGCAGCACATTGATCTGAGCAGCGAAGTCAAAAACAAGCTGATGATAAATGCAAGCTGGTGAAGAACACACAACAAGCAAAGAAAAACAAAAAAACAAACAAACCGCACAGACTGTACAAAGCATACCTTTCATCGGCGTCGACGGCGTTATGTGCCTGTCCCCTTTTATGTTCGAGGTCCGGATAGCTCAAAAGGTTCAAAGAACCCGCACGCTAGCAGTATCATCGTTCACCCCAGCCGGTACAAAATTTAGCCCTGTGTCGTAGCCTGGTCTGTCGCACATGCTGCAGGCTGACTGCAGACTGCAATGTGAATGTAGTGAGCATTGAGTTAGTATGCAACGTTTGTCTTCATAGTTCATCTATCTATTTTGGTGCCTCATTGGTATTGAACTCGCATTGTTGTATGAGTTTGATCAATAGTTTGCTGAGTATTTCTTTAGCAAAAGCACTATTGCCGACAAAACAACTCATTTTGCCTAGAAGCAGCATTTTATTTGCGTCGGGAAACCCAAAAACTTAAATCATAAGTGCCGCAAGGTGCATCCGTCTGCAGCATTTAGGATACACGCTGACTAGTCAAGCAAGCTTTGCAACCGCAGAACAAAATGGAACACTCTTATCTCTCTACACATATATATATATATATAGACTTTTGAGGAGCCTTCAAGAAGCGGCTGGACCACGGAATCAGTCAGTTTCCTGAATCGCAGAACCTCCTGAGAGGAGGTTTCCTTAATGACGCTATTTTCTGAATGCACCGATCCCCCCCACCCACCACACCCCCCCCTCCACTCCATTGAGCCTCATCGGGCATTTGTCCTCCGAGGACTAAGGGCAGGCGTTTGCGATATCAGCGGACTAAAAGCTTGGAAGTGCTTCTGAAAACGCCCGGTGACACGACCGCACCAATTCGAGTCATTGCCAGTCTCACGCGCGGATTTTTGCAAGCCTGAGTTCCTTGCCAGACGCCACGGTTCGATGTCTCCCTTCTTCGAGAAGAGGCGTACCTGAATCGTGACATGGGCAGAGCTAGCGGAGTCGCGTGAAAAGTCGACCCCAATGAAGTCATGCCAAGCTACTGCTGCATCTTGCTTCCACAGACGGCGGCCATCCCACGTGTACCCTTGTCGTCAAGAAACATGCTGAAACATGCTGCACCAGGAGCAATGGGCCGGCAGTCTCCCGTGCCTTTAATCGCTTCCTCCTCTGCGTCACTGCCAGAACTGCCTGAGCTGCCCATGCCTGAGAGGGACGAAAATGTGAACTTGCGACAATCCAGGACAGCAAGGACAGCCACAGGAGCTCAGCCCGTTGCTGCCGGTTGATGTGTAGCCCGTGTCCGTGCCCATATCTCGTGCAAGTTAACTGTCAACTACAAATTTCATAAAGAGGACAGCTGCTTGAAGCCACCTGGTTCTCTGCTGAAGCCCTCGGTGGCTTGAACCCCCTCCAGGGCGATGAGGCAATCGGTGAAGGTCCTCACCGCCTGTTCAAACTCACGAAGCATCATCAGACAAGCACCACGGTAGACACGCCTGACATGCGAGTAAAAAGTCAAACCAAAAAAATCGATGCTAGAAGAAGGTCACCACACTCTGCCTCCGGGCCGGCACCTTTGCGACGTGCAGCCGAGAACTCCGAAAAGAGGTCCTGTGCCGAAAGCTATCAAGAAAGAACGCCTTCTTCAGCTTGCTGGGGAACCTGACTTACCAGCACAAGGCGCCCAGGCCTTCACACGCTGTCTGTTGGCCTCCGACATCTGATTGTGGACTTGGTCGGACCTTGATCGGTTGAAGTGCTACACAGACACATGCAGTCAAATTGTGCAGTCACCTGTTCTCAAGACTAGACTAAGGACTATAGACCCGTTGTTTGACAAAGAGTGTTGAGAACTGATGATGGCCACTTGCCTGGCACTTGCATATGTGCACAGCTGCAAAGCTGTCTCACGGTACGTCCAGCGGTTCATGTCAAAATCATGCTAGCACTCTAGCTGCAAGCCCCTCCTTACTGCATCAGTGCGAGTTCGTAAACTGTCTATCAGTTGATGCGCATGAGGGCCAGACATGAAGTAGTCAAACAGTCGGTCAAGGTATTGCACCTGCAAAGGGCAAGGCTCAGGTCAGAAAACAACCTGCAACTTCAGCCAATACCGCGGAAATTGGGGGCCGCCGCCCCAAGTAGAGAGATGTAGAGAGGCAGTGTGGTTGAGCCTGGGCTGCTATTTCCTCCGCAGTCATGCCTGGATTGGCAGAAGCATCACCTAGCGCAAACGATTGGATGCACACTGCAGGCTTGGGTCAGCAACTCAACTGGGCAAACCACTGGTGTCAACTGGCTTGGACTCCGTTCCGGCAACCCCGGCACTTTCGAAGGCATCGTCCTGTGCCCCGCTCTTGACCTTTGCACCAATCCATGTCGAGAAACTTGGAATAACTTGGATACTCGAAGCGGCTTAAGCCCATGGACCTCCCGGACCAGATCGAACTGTCCTGGTTGGAGTCGGCTTGGCGGCGCTACGAAGTAGAGCACGTGCCTTGCACAGAATATGTTTTTTTGGGAAGCCACCGCCGGGAAAGTAGTACGAAGAGCATGGAGAAGGCCATGCCAGGTAGGCGCAAAGGCAGAAGGACAGCGCCACGACGCAGGCCACCACGCATCGCCGATGTTTTCCTCCAACCTGGATCGATGAGGATGAAAGATAAGAAAAAACAAGTAACATTTTGGCACTGCAGGAGGTGCTCCTCAGATGGGCTTTGAGAGGGGAGTCTGAGTAGCGCGCTTCAGCGGGTTGCGAACGTCGTCTGGCAGGATCACTTCCAGAATGCGAAGTTGGTAGCAGAACCTGGAGATGCTCCAAAAGAATGTTAGAAGAACACGGATGGAAGAGGAGGTGAGACTGAGAGTTACAGGCACAGACACCAGGTGGAGGGTCCCAGAGTCACGCACGGACACAACGATGCATATGGTCACAAGGAGGCCCTGGACACTGCTGCTGCATCCTCCATATTCCAAAAAAAGGCACTAGGCGCATCCTGAAGACATGAATGCTGCTGAGTTTGCCGCTGGCAGATGTACGCACCAAAGATGCAGATCCTGTCAGCGGCCAAGATGCAGACTTTTGCCCAGGTTTAAAGCTGCAGCTTTTTCCCAGAACAAAACCCCCTCCCCTCCCCCGTTCCAACTTTTCTCGGAGGGATGCCCTGCCCCTCCCGCCCTAGATCAAGTGAGCTACTTCAGCTCTGCTAAAGGTGAAAAATGATTGAAACACGGCTTGCGAAGGGGAGAGAGCAAGGATGTTCACAAGCAGGCCTGCATAAAAAATCCTTGGCACAGCAGCGACTGGTGAAGAGAGACTTTGGTACTGCAGTGACTTGATTCACGCTTGGAGAGATCGTGCAGCTAGATGCTTCAATCCAGCGTGTAGCCCCTTTGCATAACACGCAGGGAAGACCAGGTGAAGACAATTGCAACGATGTTGAATTGGAGTCTGAAGTCCAGCGACATGCCTTCAAAACAAAACACTTGGCTAGGTACAAGGTCTCTGGCTGTGTGCTGCTTTCAGACTGTCGCACTAAGCAATTATCGGTGGCTCAGACAGGGAAAAGCTGTGGTCGAGGCCAATAGTTGCAAAGGCCACCGAGACAGGACCCAGCCACAGAAACCACGCGGGAGTGCGATCCGTAGACCTGACACGTTTCAGACGCTCCTTTTCGGCATGGACAGCTGCCTCCTCTGCAGCTTTATGTAGTGTGCACGTTGGTTGCATTGTCACCAAGAGGGTCGGCAGCGCTTCACACGACCCTGAATGATATCGAAGCGAAGGAGGAGGACGTGCAAGACCTGTCTCATGCGGTTGCTGGCTTACCATTGCTGGATCAGGCATAGAGCAAGGATGATGAGGATGTGCAAGAGCAGATGTTTTGTATTGTACACCGACAGATTCTACTTGATCGCCCTATAGTTTTGCTAGCCTCAAGAACGAAGGCAGTCGCGTGAGCCACGTAGAAGGCACGCAGTTCGACAATGATGTGGCCATTGCCTGGGCTTGGCTGCTTCCAGTACAGCTCTGTGTGCATTGCTTCCAATCTCACAACACGTGGAACATCCTCCATGCGGTCTGTGGAGCCTGCTGGAAGCATGTTTGGAATGCCGCAGCCAAAGCCCCCGAAATGTGCAGCGGTTGCCGAGGCTGGCACCGTAGAAGGCCAGAGATTGCACAAAGGCAGAGAAGCCCAGAAGCATGCACACGCGAGCGTAGATGTCATACCTTGGAACGATGCGTGATACCTCTGCGATACCTCTGTGCCAAACGTGCATTCACTGTGCAGTCGCGAGGCATTCGCGCAAGGATTTTTAAGGGCGAGGCTGGAACCACTCCTTCTGCACCGCTGCGTACAGGCGGAAGTGCTCGGGTGCGGAGTCTGCTGGTAACAAACCACCCTAAGCTTCACACTTCAGAAAACATGTCCTGGGATGTGGGGAACTCTTACATGAAAGTGCACACCCGCAAACTAGGGATGGCGGCTGGTGCCATGGTACCTGTCACAGTACCTGCCCGGTCTGTCTCGAACTCCTGAAGGCAGAAGTAGGCACCACAGCACATCAAGCAAAAACACATCATGTCCCTCCTCGCGGATCCACGAAGATGCCTTAGAAGAGCGACTGCGACGGCCGGGAGAAGCCTGAGCATCTGCAAGGGACTGGCGTGCTGAAATGGGCTGGAAGGTTTTGTTTGCGCGCTGCAGCTTTTCAGAAAGCCCGAACAGAGCTGGAATATGCCGGACTCTGCGAGGCCCCATGCTCACTCGCAGAGTCATAGCCTATGGGACAGGAAACTGAGCGTCTCTCAGTTCCATAACGAGAAGCAGCTGTGAGACACTCCTTGAGCAAAATACACGGTCAGGCATGTGCTTTTACAGCCAAAACCTGTGCACAAAAAGCGCAGTTGAGCTCCTGTATACCACATGTCTGGATTCTATGTTGCACTGGAGCTGCTACCTGCGGTTGAACACTGGAGAAGGTTGATCTTTGGTGTAACTTTCTAGATGCAGGCATGCAAAGCCGAGCCAGTCCTTACCGTATGTCAGTATGTCATTGCTATTGACATGATCTAAGCTTTAACTGTACACTAATGTATATGTCTTTGCATCTGCCTGCCAACTTAAGAAGGCCACTTTCCATGGATTCGTGACAAGGAGAAATTGGACCCTGGCAAACTTCCAACAATTTCTATACAGTAAGCAAAGAATAGTCAAACCTAGGCAACCAAGCCATGGAACCCATGGTCATTGGCATCACAAAATCTGGACGGCAATGGCTGAAAGAGAGACATCTCACGGCTCACAGTGAAGCTGACAGTCTTTGCCAATGCCTTTGTCAGATCCGGAATGCAAGATTCAAACTGCAACGTTTAGGCACATGCCTCGACGTGTAGGTGTGCAAACCCCTGTAGGCCGTGAGGAAGGCAAGTCGTGGAAGGAAGGTAACTACAGTAGAGTCACACGAAGCAACGTTTCACGACGGGTGTTAAAGGTCTTTCGAATACATGTTTTCTTGAGCCTGCTGACATTTACTGCTTCATTCATCTAGCATTATCCACTTGTGGAAGCCCCAGTCTTGTCTAGGGGCAAAGCACGCCATCGAGCCTATCAAGGGGAGAAGCTCGGGAAAACGTTCCTGCCTCTATTCAGCAGAAGATCCGAGCAGGAGGTGCTAGGCAATCTTGCGCGTCAAAGAGTTGCGACAGGCGTTGCGTCCTGACAGGCGAAACCGAGCTGAGGCACAGGCATTCCAAACTCAAGGCTGCGCAACGGGTCTTCAGAACCACTTGCAAAGGTGTGCTCGAGAGCCACGGAGACCGTGACGGACTTGAACAAATAAATCCCCTAGGAACAGCGCCAGTCGGCAATGAGAAACGACATGTTATGGTTTGGCAAGACCATTGCCCTCCTTGGGCCTTTGTGTTCACCCAAATCCTTCTCCCACAAAGCACTGATACATGCCGTGCCTGCTGTGCGAGGAAGGATCTGTAGCTGCTGGAGGCATTCTCTTGCCTTGGCTCTGGAAGACATGTGAGAGCACTCGCTTTTATATGAATGCCCAACTAGACTCCTGCATCTTCTTATTCCCTCTCTCTCTATTATTTTTTTCTTCTTCTGCTGTCGGTTACCCCTTCCTGCGTGCTGGGGTTCGCTATTTCTTGCTGTCGGAGCGAGTGAGACGTAAGCACAGTGTGACGTGTGGCCATCTAGAAACAATTCCCGACTAAGACGTCAACTGCCCCTGCACTTTCGCCTGCTACCCACCTCCAGCAGACCTTTCAATTCCCAACCTCTCTCCCTCTCGCTCGCTCACTCTCTTCTACTGTCTGCAAGAGACTCACTCAGCCTTTGCTCTGGCAACCAAAGCCCCGTTACCTCGTTACCTGGGATGCTGCAACCAAGCATCTGAAACACGTGCATGAACTCGCGCACCACCTCCGACAGAAGTCACAACTCCAGCAACTGCATGTGCTACGAGTACCATTCTCTTCTAACGACGTGAAGGGGAAACCTACCACCCTGCCCAAGCGCCAGTCGCCGACGCTTCAAGCAGCAAAGCAAAATATGAAAGAATGTGATGCAAAACGCCACCCGCTACACCTGGAACCTTCCTGTCCGAAAACTGAGCAAAGAAACATATATGCTTGGACGCGAGGCACGACAGGTGCAATAGTGTCCCTGGAATGCTTACTGGTCTGTTGGAGAACTCAGCGCCCAGACACTCATCATAATTTAGCAAACCCTTCAAAGGGATAACTCCTACGTTGGATCTGCCACTGGCACCTTGATCGTCTCAAGCGTTTGGTGGTTGTACATGGTCACCTGCACACAGCGCATGAATGTTATCAAAAAGTCTTGAATGGAACATCTCTCCCAGAGTCACCCGAATGGCATCGGACGGTGTTCCCAAAGGGTGGGAGCGAATATCCAACCAGCCCAGCTCGTCATTTGCCCTTTGCAGAAACTTCCTCAGGGGCGAGCAGCTTCGGATGTCCGCGACTCTCGAATATTTCACAAAATTTCAAAAATCTCTGCGGGCATGTCTCTCCACCAACTCATGGTCAGTGCCAGCTCCGCTTCCAATCGTGAACACAACTTGCATGCGAGATCTGAAAGCCTCCATCAATTGCATTCTGCTTTCAGCATGGAGCATGACGATATGCTTCGACTTCGGCATATTTAGATGAAGTTGTTCGCATCTTCTAACTCACTGTCGGAAATATGGGGCCGGCCTCACTGTCCACGAAGGTTCTGTAAAAGCCGTTGGAGTTGTCAATCAGATCCTTGCTTGTGGAAGCTCTGACCCATGCACACAGTGGCGAATCCGATGACCGTTCCATGTCCCAAATCTCTACCGACATCAAGCGGCATACAGAAGCCGAGAGCGCTGGATTGCAAGTTCTTCGAACGCAGCAACTCCGCCACGCTCAATCATCCACTCCGTGTTTAGTGCACCAATCCTTAAACCCACGCAAGAGTGCAGGTTCGCAATCTAAGCTTTTGTTCTCGGAAACAATCGTACTCACCACCACTGGTTCACCACTGAAAACTGAAACGAAGGGACAATTCGACAAAGGCTCCATATGGACACAAGCACTGGCACATTGTAGATTTTGTTCGGGGCCTGCTGAAACTTGACCCAATTGCACATAGTGGGGATGGCCTTCATCTGAGTTTCCTCGCTGATCAGATCCTTAACTGTGGCACACTGCCTTCAGGCCACGGATTTGCTGTCAGACCGCACTGTGCGCAGCAACCATCAACAACTGAGATCGACTCTCGTCTGATGATGCTGTAACACACTCCTGCCGTTGAAAAGTTTTTGTGCGAAGCCGCATAAAGAACTCCATACCTGCAGTCTTGGCAACGTCAAACAGAGCCACAGGTTTCCTCTTGCAACGCACCACGCTTCTTCCTCTCCAAGCGGTTGAAAAAGTTTCGCTCGTATTTTGTCTTCTGAGGCCCGGTGCTTGGAGACGTCAACCGGTGCACTGCCCAGATTCGCCTTCGGCAATGATGGGTAAAAGAAAGGTAACAGGTAAATGCAAAAAGGTGCTGCCAAAGTGCCGATGCATCGCAGCAAACAGGCATGCCTTCAGGGTAGACGTTACTTGTCAGAGAGACTTTGCCACGATAGCAGCTATAATCTGCTCCAGCTTCAATACCTGTTGTTTGCACCTGCTGGTACAGCGTCGAAATCGAAGTTTCTGATTTCGAGGCCCTGTCGCGTGTCAGCCGATGTATAGTGGAAGTACGCTGCTTCCTTATCGAAGTTCCAGGAAGTACCTAAGCGCATCGCAGGTCAAAGCTCTAACACTGGCTCATGCAGCCTAAGCCCACAGCTGCGTGCTGTCTCTCGCAGTTTCACACGCACTCGCTCAAAGCATCCATAGACGCACGTGGACAACAAAAACAGGGATCAGTGAAGCAAGTGAAGCAAGCAGCTATCCGGAATGTCGAAGTAGAGTCCTGTCAAAGAAGCCGGAATGCAACAGGCTGGTGAAAGAACCCGCACACATAGATGCTGCAGGCGCTGCGGCGATGCCAGGGACAAGTATGGTATTGGAGAGATGCATGTCCGCTGCTGTGCCCCTGGCCTTTCGGATCCTCTGCCACATCCTTGACCTCGCCAAAGAGTCGTGCTTCATTGCTGGCCTTTTCACTCCAATGTCCACTCATCAAGTAGTTCCTTGGCATTCATGCATTCAGGCTTATCCACACAGAAACTACAAACAGAATCCATCACGGCACTCGAAAACATCAAGGCAGCGACGCCGCCTTGCCCTCATTCCGACCACCTCACAAGTAGTCCATGAGAGCCCATGCCATCGAACGCAACAATAACATGCTCTGGTGATGCCCGAAAGTGGCACAATGTGCTAGAGAGGGCAGCTGGCAGCCCATAGGTTCAATCCTAGCCCCCAACTTTCCAAACATTTTCCCGCAACACGAAGGCGCACCTAACAGGTTGAGAGGGATGGCAGAGAACTGGAGGGTCGCACCACCGTTGAAGAAGTGCACCTGCATCACAGGTTTGATCCACTAAACCTGAAACATCCCCTGCACAAGTTGTACCGTCGAGTTATGCATTGTAGTACATGGTAGTACATGGTAGAACATGGTAGTACATGGCCTCATGAGTGTCAGGAATGTTCAGAAGCTCCCTGAAAGAGTTCTCGGCGCGCTCCATGATGTGATGGAACGGCTTGGTGCGATAGCCCATTTCAGCAACACCTCGATCGTGAACCCTCAAAACGATGAGATGCGAGATGGCGAAAGTTGGACATCAGCGGACTCGGAAAATGAAAACGCGCGCATTCGGAAACTCGAAAAAACGTGATTCGGGAAACTGGAAAACGCAGATTCGGCGAGCGGATTCTGAAAACCTAAACCGCGAAACGGGAACACGCGGATTCGGGAAACCCGTGATTCCGGAAACTGGAACGCAGATTCGGAAACCGCTGATTCGGGAAACTAGCAAGCGCGGCCTCGGAAATCGCTGATATCCGCTGACTCGGGAAACAGCAAAGGGGATTCGGAAACCGCTGAATTCGGGAAACTTGACAGCGGCTCTGCCACCACCTAGGCCGAATACTGCTTCCCCAGAGTCGCACATCTCTGAAGCAGAACATTTCAACCGGGTGCGGGGGCGGGTGGCGGGGTGGGGGGGGGGGGTGGGGGTGGGGGAGCGGGGGGGGGGGAGCACGGAGGGGGCGGGCATGCACTGGCCCTTTCAAGTCAGTCTTTAGAGGGGGGGGGGGGGGGGGGTGGGTGGGGGGGGCGGGTGGTGGCGGGGTGGGGGCGGGGGGTGGGGGGGGGGGGTTGGGGGTGGGGGGTGTTGGGGTGGCGGGTGGGGGGGGGGTGGGGGGGGGGTGGGGGGGGGGGTGGGGGGGGGGGGGTGGGGGGGGGGGGTGGGGTCCGGAATCGAGCAATTTCCTGAATGGCAAAGTCTCGTGCAATTTCCTGAAAGCTCTTCTTCAACCGCGTGCTTTCCGGAACCGCGCGGTTTCCTGAATCGCATAGTTTCCTGGAGTGGCTTCCTCCGAATCGCCTGAAGGCAGCTTCCTGAGTCGGGGCACTTTCCTCAATCGCCTGGTTTGAACAGTGGTTTCCTGACTCGTGGCCAGTTTCTGAATCACGCACTCATTTGACAAACTTGCACCAAGCTGGGAAACAGGTCGGAACAAGGGGCTCATGCCGCTGTGGTCCGTCTCCACGAACTCGGCGCTTGCCCGCTCGAGGACCTCCAGTGGCAGAGCCGCTGCACCAGCAGCCAAGTTGATGGCACGCGCCCTGCATCAGATCGAGTCACCGGAGTCTCGAAAATATTCTAATAAAATGATGTTTGCGCTTGGAGCCATCTCAGCTAGCCTCACTGCTGCCGGACAGGGACGTGCCAAGTACAAGCACATGCGACTCAAAGCGCAGAACGTCATGCATAAGAACACCAGTCCTATCCGGGCCTGCCCGCATGCACGGTATGGGTCAGCGGCTTGTGCTTCAATTCTGCAAATGGAGTGGTGGAGCCGGCGACATGGGAAGGCGCATTTGCTGCGTGCAACTGACAGGGACTCAGCATGAGCACTGTGAACCTGCATGAAGCTCCGTGAAAAACTCAGGGGCATTTGTTGCTGCTTCTGCTGCTTCAACAAAAAGGTCCGTGCCGCCCCCGTGTACCTTCCCTCCAGCGGCAGCAGATGAAAAAGCCCGTGCGTTTCGCCCGGTGCGAGCCAGCCCGGATCTGGCAAAGGCCATCGGCATGCAGATTGCCGGCCTGTCTTCTAAACTGGCTGAGCCTTGAGCCACCTCAAGACAACCACCAATGTTCGGACAGCATCGGACAGCATCAGACAGCATTGCGACTTGGCCTTTGAGGCCTTACGTCGAAGTACTCAGGTCTTGACTGGGAGTCAGGAATCAGTTAGACCCCTTGGTTTCTGATGTAACTTGTGCGAAACGGGTGCCGCACTGATCGGGCCCTGCTTGCAGAACCCGCAACTTTGGCAGACCTGGAGCTGACCCTGCTGACACATCCAAGTCTTGCCTCCCACACTCAGCATTCCCTTGCTCTCAGCTATTCTCAGCTCCACACGTCTCGTCCGTTTTCGGCACACCAGGATTTGCGAGGTACGGCACACGCAAGATGTCACCTCAGAGATCCGCAAAGATGCAGGGCTGAAAGACATGACAAGGACCAATATTTCGGATTGGCTGTCAGAAACTGCAAGCAAGTTGCTCCACTGCTGCTGCTCAAATTCCGAGCTGAATCGTCGCGCCTGCCGCAGTGTGGAAGGTAACACTATAAGATACAACCGTTCGCCGAGCCTTGTCAAGTTGCCGCATGGAAGGGACTGGCACCCTGGTCTTGCGAGTAAGCAAGTTCACCGAGGCAGCCTGACAAAAGCACAAACACAAGCTGGGCCATCTGCCTTTTGCACTTGAGTGCTACATGATGTCACATGTCGGTTTCACACGGCCGCCTGCGCACGATAAGAGGCATGCAGCGCCAGCAGGATCGCCAAAGCCATGAAAGCTGGGCAACCAAACATGTTGACTGCAGGTCAACGGCATGTTAGCACACTTCATTCTGAAGTCGCATAACCCATCTTCTTCCAGAACGATCTATACCATGACAACACAAGAGAACGCAAGACCAATGCTCTTGGATATGGCCAGGTTACCGAAAGAAGCTGCATTCGTCGTGATCCAAAGCCTTTTGTGAGCGTCTAGGAATGTTAAAAAAAACACTACATACAAAAAGCATAAACAAGCATGACAGAGGACAGCATGGCTCAGCTCCTTCTCACATTGTGTAATCCCGCCAGGAGGCGCCATGATCCAACCGGGAGGAGAAGGTCCGTGCAAACCCAGACGGCCAGCACCTTTAAACTCCATTTTCCATGCTAGAAACCGTGATACGGTGTGGCTCTGGTGCGCTGGGCAGCCAGCAGTAGAGCGCAATGCAGAGCGCCATGTCCAAAGCAGCCAAGCCCTGGCCAGATTCGCAGTGTCGTGTCTACTAGTGCCTGCAAGGAACCACGGTGCACAGAGACATGAGGCCAACCACGCACTAATAACACATTGCAAGTCCGACGGCATATTGGTTGTTCTTCACCATCGTCAAAGCCGACAGAGTTCTCAAGTCATTACGGAACCTCAGAAATTTTGTTGCCGTCTCGAACAAAGCGCCGAAATCAAGTCGATATGTGGTAGCACATAAGGACAAACCGTGGTAAACCACTAACCATCTCAACAAAGGATGTGCAATGTGCATCTGAGTCTCTGGTTAGACTGCTCCACAGCATATTCTCGTCCGGCGCTGAACCTGCAGAACGCGTTGGCCAAGTCAGGCAGCTTGCGTGCGTGGCTGTGTGAGCTCTGATCAAAACATTGTTGCCTGACACAACAAGAACATGCCCTTCCCTTCCCAGAGCTTCGACTCACACAACATGAGATCTGCCCAAATCGACATCACACACACACACACACACACACACACACCGAGCAAAAACCGCCTTGCACAGACAAGGCCCGTAAAATACCAGCGAACAAAAGCAGCCAGCACAACCTGAATTCTTCTGTTGAGAACGCCTCTCGAATCGGAACTCTGCATCGTACAAGTAGTTGGCACCTGATCCGCATGTAAGCGTCATCATCGCAAGCATCTGCTCATGGACCCTGACTCATGTAGTGCATGCTCATGTTGCAGATTCACAAACGCATTAGAAAGGCGCTTCCTGAACATGCTGTCGTAAGTGCCCAGCGATTGTAATCGAACAGGCCAAACCCCACAGCAGCCGCACCGGCAGCTGCCACGCCAGCTTCTGCGGCCATGATGAGTTGCTCCTGAGCTTTTGGAAAGAATGCTTCTGGAAAGACCTTTCCAAAATGACAGCCAAGCATGGCGCCCTCGAATGACGGACTGCAAGCTGGGTTTTCCACAGTCTTGACCTCTCAATGCTCTGATGGCGGCCACCCCACGCGAACAGAAGCGGCTGAGGTGCGAAACAACATGTGCGACACCGGTTGCCCGCAAAACGCTAGCTGCAATGCATCAAGACAGGACCATGATGAGCTAAGATATTTACGAAATCTCTGCAGGGCAACACTCACGAAGACCTACATAACCCAAGTAACGGCGATGGCCTAATTTCTGCGAACCCTGCTCAGACACCCCAAACGTCGCATGCCGCTTGTCAATGACCGCAAATGACGCCGAAATATCCGCCGGACAGAAACACTCTCAGCTAAAAACTCAGCGGTTTCCCCATTGTGGGGGGAATACATTTTTGTTGCAGATCGATAAACAAAAACTCCAGCACCTCGCACTTCCAACTGACAAATCCATACAAGTATGTCCAGTGACGTGGCTCTATGCCAGCACACTGACTGTTTATGATATGATGGACTGGCGAGATGAATACTCGCAGCCAACAAAGTGTGGGACCGGCGGGCGCAAAATTTTTCGACTCCCTGCAACTCTCAAGCCGAGCTTGCTCGAATATGAGCATGCCCATCAAAAACACCTCTCAAACACATACTGATTATGAAACACATGTGACCTGTGAGCGCGACAGGGAGTCAAAAACACGCTCATCGATCACGATGTGTATCGCGAAACACAACAGAGAAAGGGGTTCGCATAAATTTTTGGACCGCATTTTCCAACAACATGGAAAGCAAAGAAGGCCCTCATGTCGAGACAAGGCTCGATGTCGTTGAGTCGCTCACAAGACTGCAAAGACTAAAGCGCACTCTCACAGCTCACAACTCTTTTCTTTTGTCTACGTGGGGTCAAAGGCATGTTGGATCGTGTCCAGCACGCTTGCGTTTGGTCACTGAAATGAGACCGCATCCAGTTATTTGGGACGACCGCATCTTCGCGAACTGCTGGCCATGCAACGTGAAAAATGCGATCGCTGCTTCCAACATCCAAGCCCACCGCTAAGCTCAGAACCCTCCAGGCTCGACTGATGTCAGCACTAAGCCGCTCAAGAACCCTTAAGCCCCTCAGCAACCGTAACATCCTTCGACCCAAAGCGCCACTCAACCTGAGCCCTCAGGAGGCCCGTGGATCAAGCCCGTGGACGGGCGGCGTAGCTTGTCAGGGCTGGACGGGAATGGGGGATTCGCGGAGCTTAAGAGCTTTTTTTCTAAGTTGCTGCGCGTTTTTGTCCTTCGAAAATGAGGGAAGTTGGGGACTGAAGTAGAAAACACAATGCTGAGACAACTGTCTATAATCGTCACCCATGTTCGGAATAAACGTCCATATTCACCAATACAGTTCAAAGATGCACCCAAAGCCAAAATCTCAGGTCAACACCAACTCCAGCACCAAATCACCGTAAACGATTGGAGAGGACATGCCCTCCTTCCCCACAGCTTTTTTCGTTCACTACCCGCACTAGTCCGTTACGAATGTTCAGTTGCATCCGTGAAAAGGAAGGAACCACGCATACCCCTTTCCTTTTTACACGCTGGCAGAAGAATCCCTGGCGGTGCTTCAGCAAAGCAGCCTGCGGGCAGAAGCACCCGGGCAAGAAAGGTGAACAGAATGCTGGTCCAAGGCACCAGCAGAGTGTGAAAACAAAGGAGGGAGAGTGCAGCTACGCAGACTCTACCATGGTTCAGAAACCTACGGGCCCAAATCAAGATGCGGAAACCGTTGCATGAACTCGAAGACGGAAGGCCCACGTAGAGGACGATGCAAGGAACAGCGAGGAAGCTCGTGCGGCAAGGAAGACAGAGGAAGGTCGGAGGGGAGGTGGCGGAAGTTGAAACTGAATCCGAACGGACTAGACGCACAAATCCGCCTGTCGAGCCAGCAGCTACACAGCAGGCGGGAGGGGATGAACAGGCGGAACATGCTATGCCGTTGCGTGCGGGCAGCAAACACACTTGTACACGTACATCCACGTTCACTACCCGCACTAGTCCGTTACGAATGTTCAGTTGCATCCGTGAAAAGGAAGGAACCACGCATACCCCTTTCCTTTTTACACGCTGGCAGAAGAATCCCTGGCGGTGCTTCAGCAAAGCAGCCTGCGGGCAGAAGCACCCGGGCAAGAAAGGTGAACAGAATGCTGGTCCAAGGCACCAAGTATTTCAGGCGGCACGCTTGACCCGAAGGGGGAACAAGGCCAGCATTCTTCAAGCAGACGCCAGCCAAGCAGAGAGATCCAGCTCCAGAGGATATGTATGACAAGAAAAGGATGAAGGCAGAGCGGACCAAGGGATTTGGCAGCGTGCAGACTCGGAGAAGCCCAGAAGCTGGGCGTCGTAGCCGCGGCTAAGACCATCTGCCAGGTCATTCTTGAACCCCGGAACGTGGTCTATATGGACCGATGTGTACTGCCTTTCTTGGAGGAGAAAGAAAGAACGCAGCAGGCTACACATGCCCGTAGCGAGCGAGAGACCTTTCCAGGACGCGGCATCCGTCGCGGAGTTGTCACAACGAAACGTGACATGCAGAGGCGGATGTCCTTGAGGCAGTAGGCAGGCTAGAAGGTGCAGTAAGGCACATTGAGCGAGAAGTTCCCAGGCTGCAATGTAATGTTGCGGTGAATGATCGGGCGGGAACCACGGAAACAGTGAATGAAGCTCCGCTTGAGAGAACGTGACCTGGAAAAAAAGAGTTTGCCCCCCAGGCAGGCGCACGAAGCCACCCAGGCCGGCGGAAGAACTGTCAGCACATGCGTCAGCAAAGGCCTCACATTCGAAATGAGGTGACAGCAATAAAGATTTGAAGTCGGTCCCAGAGCGGCAGATCTGGAGCCACATGTCCATCACAGCACGTGAGGCGTCCGAGACGACTCTGTCAGGGTGTGTAAGGTCTGAGATCTGGACCCAGAGACGCCGAGCGGACGGCGGAAACTGAGGCAGTTCTTCCTTAGTCAGCACAGCGGTCTGGGCCACACGGAACAAGCGGCTGCCTAAGGGGGCGGACGCCAGGCCTGAAGGCCCGATTACCCGGAGGTCATTGGAGAGCACGGATTGCAGGCGTTCCCAAGCTTGCACAGACAGGGCAACATGTACCAGCGGAGGGCAGTATTGGTCCTGATACAGCGGTGCAAGGGACGGCCGGAATGCGCGGAAAAGGTTGGAAAGCCAGAGCAGCTTACCAGTGAGCTTTTCCAACGTGGTGGCTGATAACTTCGTGCAGCGGTAGCACTGTCGAAGCAGTTCCAACAGGCGCTGAAGTTTGGCCGGCTCCAGACGGACAGTAAAAGTGCGAAAGTCCAACTGCCATCCGATCCAAATGACCGAGGCAGAAAGTTTGGCTTTATGCCAACTCATCGGCACATTCAATATTTGAAGCAGAACAACCAGCAGAGCGGCAAGTAGCGGGGCGGATGACTTTTCGAGGATGGAGATAAGGTCATCCACGTAAATCAGGGCAGAATGGCTGACCCACCAAAAGCGGTGAACGAGGCGGACAAGCAGGCCAGCCACACGGGCCCAGTAAAAACCAGAAGCACGTGCGCCAAAGTTCAAGGTTTTGCACTGATAGAGGCGGCCGCGGTGGCGGAAGCACAGCAGGCCTTGGTCTGCAGGCAAGATTTTGAGGCGGCGGTGTGCTTTGCTCACATCTAACACCAGGGCGACCAAGCGCTCGCGGGCATCGGAAAGCGGGAGGCAGCGGCGGATGTCCAGCAGGGTCGGATTGGCGGAACGATTGGGCAAGTGCGTGGCGTCAGTAACGCCCGAAATGGAGCTGTCGACCACCAGACGTGGTGGGCGGCCCTCGGCAAGCACCAACCCCAGCTTGCCGACAGCGGTGTGTGCATATCTCCGCTTCAATTCGTCATCACCCCCGGTAACCTCCATGATCCAGCCGGCACGCTGGAGCAGTTCGTCAACAATTTCAGCGTTGTCTAACGCAGACTTCCAGGCGGACTCACAATGGCGGAGCTCTGTTTCCGCATGGGGAGGAGCATGTGAGGCTTGCAGGAGCGGGCACGGGGGAATAGGGGCGGAGAAACCCAGGGGAACACCTGCGTGCAAGTGAGCGAACAAGTCAGCATCAGCATCTTTGAAGATGAGGGAGAGCGTATGCCAGAGAGAGAGGCGGAATGGTTGGCCCTCGTCTATCGACATCAATGCGGCCCAAGTGTCGTCCTGGCGGACTTGCAGAAACTCGCGGAGGTCGAGGAAGAACGGGGCAAGCTCGACTTCGGACAAAGGTGCGGATTTAGATCCGGAGGACAGCGCGGTGACTATTTTGGGAACCAGGCCGGTGCGGGCCAGGCGGGCAGACCAAGCGTGGCGCAGGGCCTTGAAGTAGTCGTCAGTTTGTGGGCGGGTATGGCAGGCAGTGCTGCCTGTGCCAGCACCATCCTCCACCGGGAATGGATATGCTGGCCAGGGCAGGCGGGCGGGCAACAGGTCAACCCACGTTGCCAGTGTGTAACCGCGGTCCTCAATTGACACGAATGGGACGCAGAGGGACGCTATGGAGCTGGCTAGGGAGGGCGGGTAACAAGCCGTTGTTCTGGTGAGGAAACCCCCATCTGCAGTGCGTCGCCTCAATTGGGGACAATGGTAGCCGGGCAGGTGTGGGCACACGGAAGCAAGAGCAGCAACTGATGGCCGGTTAGACCAGAACAGCCACGATTTCTTGTGGTCCAGGCCATGAGCACAAGAAGCAACGGACGCTCCGAACGGAGCAAACGCACGGACCCAAGCCATGACCTGAGGATCCAGCCAGAGTAAACTGGTAGAGGGATTCTCTAGAAAAATGATGCCGCCGCGCGTAGCCACGAGAGAAAGTAGGTTGCGTGTGCGTTGATGCAGCAATGATGACATATTGAGCTCCCGCTGCTGTCTCGGGGAAAGGTCGGCCAGGCCCAATGGGAAAGACGGCGTGCGCACTGGCGGGGGGCCCGACTTTGCTAGGCGCGCGCGCGAGTAGGCCGAACAAGGCGGTGCAGCACAGCAGGCACCAACTAGGCCGGAAGCACACAGCCGACAAAGCGCAGCGTAGGTGACGTCATCCGAAACATCCAGGGCAGAGCCAGTCAGAACATCCACAGGCTCCATGCACGCCAAGAGGAGTTGGCGGGCGGCGTTGTGAACGGGGGCCGAGGATCCAGCGAACAGGTCCAGAAACATGCGGACAGCTGGGATGGGGCGACAGTGAGGCACGGGGCCATCCTGTGAAGCACGCGGGGCCGGTGAGGGGCTGGACAAATCAGAAGCCGGTTGCTCACAAACACCCGGGGCGGCCGGGCGTGCCGGCGGGGAGTGGCGATGAATTGAAGCGGAGTCAAGACCAGAGGTGGCAGCCGGTTGCTCACAAACACTCGGGGCGACCGAGCGTGCCGGCGAAGAAAAGGGCGGACCAGGCATGACGGGCACGCCAGGTTGGGAACAGCGCGGAGCCGGTTGCTCGCAAACGCCCGGCGGGGTCGGGCGTGCCGGCCCCTTGGCAGAGGAGGGACCATGGTTCACGGACAGGAATGGTCTGAGTGATGTGAGAGACGGTTGCGCCCGGCCAGAACACGGGGCTGCAGGCGGAAACGCTGTGTTGCACGGGGCCGCAGATGCCGGTGCGGCGAGGGCAGTGCGACTATTAAAGGATGCAGAACCGGTGTTGGCATCCGCTAGGTTCGACTCGTCTTCTGACTCGGAGGACAGGGGCACTGGGCTCCCGGGTGCGGATGATAGTCAATGCGCTGTGTTCTTATGTTCTGTGGCGGTATGTTTCTGGCCACAGGGTTTCCCGGACGGCAGTGGGATCGGGCAGAGGTGAGCGTAGCGGCAGTTAGGATTAGAGCACTTGCCTATGGCATAGCGCTTGCACAGCTCACGCTTGCCGATTTTCTCAAACCAGGACGCCTCGAAGCCGGGCACGGAAGGAGTGGCATCATTCTTGCCTCTGCCGCGTCCCTTGCCCTTAAATTTGGGCGCGGGCTTGCGAGCCTCTTCATTGCGGGAAGAGCGGGAGCGGTCCGCACGGCGGTTGTTAGGGGTGCGGGGGTTAGGGGCATTAGGGTCAGCAGTGGCTTTAGCAGGACGCGGACGGGGCTGCAGGAGGGCGGAAATGTCCTGGCGACATGTGGAGATCTCATTGAGGGCGTCCTCAATGGACCAGGCGTGGTCACGAACCAGTTCATGTATGGAAATCCAGACCGCCCGGTCCGCAGCTAAGATCTCGTTGAGCGATGGCGGGCGGAGCGACGGATCCAGCGGAACCGCCAGGGCGGTGGAGATAAACTTATCCGTGAACCGCTTGATGGTGATCAAATGTGTGATCTTCGTCATCGCCAACGCGGTAGCAAAGAGTGAGAGGTTGCGTCGCAGCACGGACTCCAGCGGCCCGTTGAGGCCCGCAGCGGATGTCGGACCCTGCGGCTCAGACTCATCGGCGAGCAACGCCCGGAGCAGTTGACCGTCGGAGCGCGGACGGCGGGACTCGGACCAGGCAGCGCGGTCTGCTTCAGATGCACGCTGACGCCAGGGCAACCAAGGGGAGCAGGAGGAGTCATGTAGGTGCTTGATGGCAGAGCACATCTCCAGGCACGGCGTTGTGGCGGAATTCAGGAGCTCGCCGGGGTAAGCAGCTGCGAAATCAGTGCGGAGCTGGGACAATTCGGCCGAAGTGAGTCTGGGCACAGCCGGCTGCGGCATCAGCGGAACAGCCGGAGATGCGGAGGCTGCCGCCGGCGAGGCGGGCGGCACCCCCGGCAGGAGCAAGCGCGCTTCCATAAGAAGGCGACGCACAGCCGAACACGCAGGTGTAGTCAGTTCCGAAGGAGCGGGCAGGGACAGCAGGCTGCGCAACAACTGGGGCTCGTCAGTGACCTCCGGGGCGGCAAAGACCAATGCAGAAAGGGTATTGTACCCGGCGGACTTGAGCTTGGCGGCCAGATCGTCAGGCGCAGAATATTGCGTCAGAAGAGCTTCCAGCACGGATGGGTCATCCAAGCGGGGACGATGAGCCATGGTACCTGGCAACGGGAGACAGGCAAAGCCCCTAAGCTACAATAAAGCACCCTTATCAGCGAGCCAAAGACAGCTGCGGACAAAGAGATTAGATACAGCATAACAGCAGACGTGGCAAGGTGCAGAGAAACAACAAAGAAGTCATGCAGGTGCAAGCCCAACGGACGCGTTTTGCCGCAGACGCGGTGGGTGCACAGTGGACTGAGTCCGAGCCAAGCGAGGCAGCGAACTGAGATGACTTCGTCAAAACAAAATGAACAAACTCAAATAAGACAACGTATAAAACCAGCGATTAAGACTTCAAAACAGCAAAGGGCTCATTCACTGACTCGCAACATGCAGAGCGGCAGCTCAGGCAGGCGGTTCAGGAGACGGCTCAGCAGCATCTGGGGCGGGAGCCGGAATGGGCAACGGCGATTCAACGAGGCCACGAGCACCTTGCTGTCGTCGGCGATGGCGGCGAAGAACGGGCGGCAGATCCTGGCGAATGTCAAGCGCCGCAGCGGCGCGGCGGGCAGCATGGCAACGACCGCAGAAGTGATCACGGTGAGGGCGTGGGCGGTCTAGCATAGGGCGGCCGCAGAGGTTGCCGCAACGGTTTGAGCATGGTTGCTGGCAGTATCCTAGGATGACTTCAGCAGCACCAGCGTCACGGGCTTGCAGCAAGATGCGCAACCGGACAACAACACGGTGATCGAGGCGAGACAGCCAGGCAGACAGTTGCGCATCAGACCAGGAGGCGTCGGGCAGGTGTGGACCGGCAACCCCAGAAGGGTAAGCAGTGCTGGCGGAGCGGTCGCCCGGCGGCGGTGCATGCTGCACGGGTGAGGGCACAGCCTGAAGGTGGGCAGACTCAGCCCCTTGAGGCGCAGGCAATGCGACTCGGCGGCGCTCAGTGCGGATTGAGAAGACGGACCGGTCCACTGTCGGCGTTGAGGGCACGGACTCCATGGCGCAAGGAACGCTGGCGGAGAAGCACTACAAACCCAAGAAAACCTAAAGGGAACCCTGAAGCGCGAGCAGGGGCAGAAAGACTGCGGCAAACGGGTCTCTTTTCCTGAATCATGCGGGCTGGTCCCAAAAGTCAAAGCGTTTGGCGCATGCCGCGCGGAGGCACAGAGTGCAAGCAGGCGGCGGTTGATGGAGCACACTCGCTTGGTCGAGCTGGTCTGTTTGCGCGCCACAAGCAGGGCGGAGCCAACACTGGTGAGCAGGAAACCAAAGCGCACGGGGTGCATCCGGATCGCAAGGGGACGCAGCGTGTGTAACGTTGCTGCGTGAATTATAGAGCAAGAGAGCGGGGGTGGAGGATGGGGAGGAAGGCTGCATCATGGCTGCACATTCCACCTCAAGCGCTTCAGGATCGGAGGGCGGCTCTGAACATACCGAACCGCAATCATTCTCAGAAGAGCAGCTGGACACTTGCGGTGTGGGAGCACGGCTGTAATCTGGAAGGAGGTCCGGAAGGAGTGGCAGATCCGGGTCATGGGTGGACTGGACATGCGGAGTGGCGGATGCAACAGGATGCACTGGCGTGCCGGGAGCTGAGCCTCCCCCGTTGTCTTCCGGCTCTCCTGGCTCCTTCTCGTTGGTGTCCGCTGCACCGTGCCCGGCATCATGCCAGCCAGTTGCGCCATCTCGCAATATTCCGCGTTGGCTGGATGGTTCTCTGAATCCAGCCTACCGGCCGCCAGGCCTAGTTGTTGCTGCAGTGACCTTTAAACCGGCCTTCCCTAACCCGCCTAAGCGCTCATTCAGAGCCCCTTCCCCTACCCTAATCCCGCCCCTGCCAGCCCCTAAACTGCGCGCGCGGTCACTGCCCGTTCTGGCTCCTCCTGGGCCCGCTGCACTCGCCGTGCCGCCGTGTTCTAAGCCGGCCGCCTATATACGCAAGCTCACTGCCCCGCTTCCCTGCACTTACCGTGCTTCGGGTGCTGCACCTGCCCCCTCGATCATGTGTGCTTTCGAGGCTGCTCGGGACAAGCTCATTGCGCGTTGGTTGTTATTTGTCAACCTGCTGGCCAGCGTCTCGGGTCTTTTTGTGGAAGCATCTGCCTCGTCCGATCCGGACTTCTTTATTAGCCGAGTCGTTGCAACGCACGCGCCTTCAACCTTGCAACGCTATCTTGACATGTGGTCCGCCTGGTGTCTGCACTGTGAAATTCGCCGATCATCGGCACACGATCCGCAACCAGGTGTGTTGCCAGACTGGTTGCGTGCCCGCTCTAGTCCCCAAGGTCTGGCCACCATGCCCTTTAAGGCGTTGTCTTGGTTTTCTAGAAAGGCTGGTCTGCCGCTCCTCCGCCGCCAGCTTGACGGCGCCATTGCCCGGGCTTTTCTTTCTCCTTCAAACCCACTCGAGCACCGTGAGAGCCTGCCCTTTTCTTTGAGCTTCACAGCCTGGTTGGAGGGTCGCGTCCTCTGTCCGGAGACACTGCCCGCAGAGACTTACATGTTGGGGGTTCTGCTCTGCGCGATTTGGGCCTCGCTCCGCTGGGGCGACCTTCTGTGGGTCCCGCCTGCCCGCTTGCATTTTCAAGCTCCCTCCGCCGCATTGGTGGGCATCTGTGTTCGCACCAAGACCACTAAGTCCGGGATGCCTTGGGGCATCTATTCGCCAGGCCTTTTGGGTTCCGCCACGTCTTCATGGACGACCCGCTGGTTGTCCGTCGTCAAGCAAGTTCTGGCAGACACCAAGGCCTTGCACCCGCACCGCGTGCTCGATTTTCTGCCCGCTATCCTCTCTGCCGATGCCGCTCACCCGGTTATTGTCAAGCCGCTCTTCAGGGACCAAGCAGTGCCATGGATCCGCAGTCTCCTCTACCACCATTGGAATCTACACAGCTCCGAGCCGATGCCTGCTGCGTTCAACCTAATAGCTGCTCATTCTGCTAAGACCACACTGCTTTCTTGGGCCCGCCAGTTGGACATGCCGGCCGAGCCCAGACGCATTCAAGGCCATCACCGCTTGTCCGGCTCGGACAAATCCGTCGCGCTCTACAGCCGTGATGATATCGGCCCAATGTTGTGTTGCCAACGCACTGTGATATCATGCATCCGTGCAGGTTTCCGTCCGCTCCAGCCACTGGCTCGGGGTTCAGACAATCCGCTTCCGGACTTTCCAACAGAGCTCCCGTCGGCCACTGGTTTGCCGCGTGTCCGCTGGTCTGCTGCAACTGTCGCCTCTCCTCCTACTCAGTCTGCAGGGGAAGGTGATGACCATACTGGCCCGCATTCAGGCACGGCCTTAGGAGTTGCGGGCGGAGATGCAGGAGACACAGGCAGGCTGGGCGAAGGTGACGCCGGCAGGTTTCCCAAAGCGGCCGCAGAGGCAGTGTCCGAGACTGGACTGACGTCAAGGTCTTGGGTAGCATCTGAATCATCCAGGTGTGCGCACACAGAATGCACGGGATCAGCATCCAGGATTTGGAAAGGCTGGCCAGAGAGAGGGTGCGCAGGCAGAGATGCTGGGGCGTCCGGAGGTGGGTGCAGTTGTGACATAGAAGCACCAACGGACGGCAGGGAATGTGGCACAACCGGGGGTGGGATGCAACTTGCGTGGGGGGGGTCCGAAGGTGGGTGCACAGGAGGTAGAGAAGCACCAACGGACAAGTCAGGTGGCACCGGGGGAACGACAGATGGCACGGGATGCGTCAACAAGGAAGCCTCGGGGGCGGACACGAGGGTATCAGCAGGTGGCGGCAACACCGGTGCAGGAGAAGCCGATTCATGCTCGTCCATGGCGATGATGGTGTCCTGGCAAGAGCGTCCCTGAACAACCCTAGACCCTAAACAGAACCCCAGCAAAAACAGTGCAGTTGCAAAATGCGAGGCACCGGCAGCTTTTTTCGAAGCGGAGCGCGTGTGAAAGGCACTGTGGCCAGAAGGTAAGGGCAACAAAAACCAAACAGCGGAGGAGCCAGAGCGGAAGAGCCGCGGCCGCGTAAGAAGTTAGAAACTTGAGGCTTAAGTGAGAAAGCGGCCGGGCGGCAATTCGGCAAAGGCACCACTGCGGAGACCGGGCGGCTCAGGAGTGCAGGCGGTGACAGGCGGAGCACTGGTGTTCCTTGTGCCCGGACCTCTCGCCGAACATCACCGGGCGGAAGCAGAGGCCTGTGCATGTGGGGGCGCGGTCCGGCGAGTCAAAGGCGGAGCAGATGTGGGTGCAGTAACCGCGGAGGCGGAGGTGGCTGACAGCATCCGCGGGCGGCTGCAAGCGGACATACAACCACCGCGGGATCTCGTCCGGATGCACGCAAAACAGGTCCGGATACGGCCACCAGGGCGGGCGGACGACAGTGCAGGCGGAAGCGGGCAAGGCGATTTGAAAATCCCACCCCTCAGCGGTGCTCCACGGACCCTGGTTGGGGGAGTCCGTGAAGCCCGGTTCGAAGTTGAGGGCCGCGGGTCGGTGGCGGCAGTGGGGCAAATGGCCGGCAGGCGGTCGCGGTCAGTGCGGACCACGGAGGCTGGGGAATCCGCGGGCACGGCACGGTGGCCAATGTTGGGATCGAAATGCATGTTGTCCTGGCGGATGGGGCGCGGAGCAACCGGCGTGCGTGCCGGGCGGGTCGAGAAAAGCTCCGGGGTTGCAACAGGGGCAGGCGTGCTGGCAGGCGTGTTGGCCGGCGGTGTTTGGTCAGGCAACGGGCCAGTGTAAACCCCCGTAGCGGTGCTGTGGTGCCAATCACGTTCACGGGCCCATGCATCAGACTCATGCACGGGCGGCGCAGGCGGAGTCGTGTCAACTTGGGGGCGGCTGGGCGGCATCATCTTCGGAGGACGTGGCATCAGCCCAGCGGGCAGACCTGAGGGTGCGGGTAATGCGGCGGCCGGAGGGCTGCATGCGGGACAAGATGTCGGTGGGCAGGTGAAAGAGCCTGTCCATGAGGACATCATGGCACACGTCCGACACAAAGCAAACAGACTGCACATCCAGTGAGGAAAGGGCGAGGGCGGATTCCTCGTGCTCGGGCTCGCAGACAGCGCGCCAGGCTCGGACGAGCTCAGCGTGGCGGGCGGATCTGCGAGCTTGCTCATCAGCACGGGCATCAGCGGAGTCCTGGTCAAAGGGGCCGGTGGCAGGCGGCACTTGGGATTGGGCGGCTGCAACCGCGGCGGCAGTGGCTTCGGCAGGAGTGGGCGTCTGACGGGAAGCCATGGCACCAAACAGAGCAAAGCAGTCGAACTTGAGGCAGGAGCTTGAGAGCATCTGAAAGCGGCTGGCAAACAT